GATGTTGCATAGGATTAACATATTAGAATAATTTTACACATTTTTCTGAAAGAAAATAGGTTTTTGTTTTATTGAAAATCACACAACATTCACAGTTTAAGGTGTGTTTTGTGTTACCTTGCTGAATTTGACCATTTCCGCAGGGTCTCTGCCTTTGCCTTTCTTAGACTTGTCTCTGAACGAATCACTGCCAACGTAAAATACAAGTAAATAATATTACTGAAAGTTTACGGTTTCTGCCTTTAGAGCCACACGGTAACTGTGATTGAGTCTGATTGCTCAAACCTTTTGCTCCCGTTACACTGTCTGAAGTATTTCTTGGCAAACTCCACCATGTTGTACTGGCTGTCTAAAAGGACGCTCCCCTCCACTTCAGGATTGCCGAAATCACCAAATTCATCCAACTAAAAGAAGACATATGAAATATAAGTACTCACAGCTCATTGAAAAAAAAATTCTGTTTGTGGATTTTACACATTCAAACACATACCAGTTTGTAAGTAGAAGACATTTTATTATGATTTGAATATGATGGGAAGTTATTGTGGCATGTATAGACTTGTTTTGTAGAAAGAAAAAAAAACAATTCTTCAATCTGTTTCTGTTTTTGACATAGAAACAATAGAAAAAGTCCATAAAAATTACAGAAAGGTGTTGAAAATGGATTTGAATGAAACCTATTAAGTAACAACCTGTCATTAATCATGTAATTATGAAAATAATGAATAAATATTTGTATAGAGTAAATAAATGTATAGAAAAATAACTTAGAACATCTTATTCTGATAAAAGTAATGACAAATTATTACGTCATTATGTCATTATAAATGTATGTCATTCTATAAGTACATTTAAAAACTATATCATGTAAATAAAATGTATTTGAAATTAATAATAACTCTATTCCCAATTGTTAAGGGTTTTCACAAACCCAACAGATTTGTACTCCCGCTGGTATTTATTCATTATATAGAGCTTTCAGTGGTAGATTATAGATTACACAACACAGTGAAAGACTGACCTCTAGTGTTGGGTCCAGTTCATGTGCAGCTGCGCTGGACGCCACAGCGAGTGCTACAGCTCCTGACGCCACCACTCGGCCCTGTCTGTCTCTCGGTTCACCTTTCCTCTCCACAGGCAAACTGAGGAAGTCTGGAGCCGCAACAGGAACCACACAGTCTGCGGGAAACGCACCGCTGCGACCCATCACTGCTCCAAACCTCCAGCCTGGAACAAACAGAGAAAAACAAGCTTATTAGACCAACTGAATGCCTTCATAACATCAGCTTACAATTCAAAGACATGTACACTGATCAGGCATAACATTATGACCACCTCCTTGTTTCTACGCTCATTCTCCATTTTATCAGCTCCACTTACTATATAGGTGCACTTTGTAGTTCTACAGTTACAGACTGTAGTCCATCTGTTTCTCTGCATGCTTTGTTAGCCCCCTTTTACCCTGTTCTTCAGTGGTCAGGACCCCATGGACCATGTACCCCATGGTACTATTTGGGTGGTGGATCATTCTCAGCACTGCAGTAACACTGACGTGGTGGTGGTGTGTTAGTGTGTGTTGTGCTGGTCTGAGTGGATCAGACACAGCAGTGCTACTGGAGTTTTTAAACACCTCAGTGTCACTACTGGACTGAGAATAGTCCACCAACCAAAAACATCCAGCCAACTGCGTCCTGCGACCACTGATGAAGGACTAGAGGATGACCAACACAAACTGTGCAGCAGCAGATGAGCTATCGTCTCTGACTTTACATCTACAGGGTGGACTGACAAGGTAGGAGTGTCTAATAGAGTGGACAGTGAGTGGACACAGTGTTTAAAAACTCCAGCAGCACTGCTGTGTCTGATCCACTCGTACCAGCACAACACACACTAACCCACCACCACCACGTCAGTGCTACTGCAGTGCTGAGAATGATCCACCACCCAAATAGTACCATGGGGTACATGGTCCATGGGGTCCTGACCACTGAAGAACAGGGTAAAAGGGGGCTAACAAAGCATGCAGAGAAACAGATGGACTACAGTCTGTAACTGTAGAACTACAAAGTGCACCTATACAGTAAGTGGAGCTGATAAAATGGACAGTGAGCGTAGAAACAAGGAGGTGGTCATAATGTTATGCCTGAACAGCGCATGAAGACATGCTTGTCTGCAAATAACAGATATAATCTGTTATAGTTATTAATACAAATAAAGTGAGTTTACATAACATCAATACACATCAGGAGTTTTTTGGGCTACGTCATACGTCTTTATGTATTAACGTCATACACACAGACTCAAAAGGAAGGTCTGGCTGTTGGGTCTCAAATGCAAAATCAACATCATCCTGATGAAGATATGACGACAGTAGTAGCTCATTCACTCACATCATCAGAAGACACGTCCTTCATTGAGTTTTGACTGAGTTCTCTTTGAATTCGCTTTCAGCGCATTCACAGTCGTCAGATTCATCCGCTCGGGGAAAGGGTCCGAAGCACAACCCACATTGCAATGTGCAATTACACATTTCTACCACAGAGGTCTCCAAATCCTCGAATCTTACATAGAACAGCTTTAATATAATAATAATTACTATTTAATTAATGAAGAAAAATTGACTTTAAATGTTTCTATTTTATATTTTAATTTTAATTTGTCTTTGTAAATCGCATTCATTATATATATTTTTTTTTCTGCACTGGGGACCATAAGACCCTAATTACACCATAGTTCTACTTACAGAATGTTTTAATTACCTTGAAGTTCATTACCAGTTTCCAGCTAATTTTTAAAGGCATAAAAAATGCAGAACTTGAATTTAACTAAATTGTTTTACTCTACTGTATCCCTATACTAAAAAAAACTCAAATAGTTACCAGGATGCCCTAAAATTAAGCACTTATGGAACTTTAAACAGTAAGTCAACATAACTCAAGACACAGATTTTTGGTCTGTCAGCTTTCTATTAAAAGTTTATTAACTCAAACTTTTAATTAGAGTTGAAACCACTTTTTACAGTGTACACAACAATGACCTTCATCCAGCTGAGTTGCGAAACTCTACAATAGGCATAAAACTGCAAGATGCCTGAAATGTGAGTTATGGCCTAATTTAAATCAACTAAAAGGCAACAGAATCAGATGGTCTGAGGCAAAAAAAATACATCAGCACCATGGACAGCACCGTCTCTCTGGCTCCCCCTGCTGGCAACCATTCAGATTCAGCATCCAGGCATGTGAAGGTCAGTCTACCTGTTTGCTATGAGCACTGAAAGTCTGACATAAGAGAATTAGGCTGCTCTAACTGCACAGTTCTGTAAAAAGTCTGTTCAAAGAGTGTATTGTTTAATTTGAGTGACTGAAGCTTTTGAAATGACCTTCTGCCTTCCAGTGGGAGCTCCCCAGACCATCGATTTTACAGCTGAGAATGCAGGAAGTCATGTGAGACATTCAAAAAATTCAGTGTGAGAAAATATTTGTTGTCAGTTTTTGCCCTGTATCTCTGCTTTACACGGTTTCAGTGCAAAAATCATTGTCATCAACCAGATCTTGAGCTGCTATGTGGAAATTCTGCTTGTAAGGAAACTCAGCTTACCGAAGTCTGCTGTGTCTCTCTTCATTTCTTCCAGATAAATGACCTTCTTCTTAACCACACATCCATAAAGCTGACCTGAAAAATACACACAGTGTGAAATCTCAGCGTTTTAACAGATCATTCTATAAGCAGATGTGACCACAGGTAAACCTTGGTGATTCAGCATGACAGGTTATGTAGCCACACCACAGTACCTGCTGTGTCTGTTTACACCTAAGAAGTTAAACATGCCTTCTGGACAGCAACCTGTATGCTAACTTTGTTCTTGGTATAGTTTGGTAGTTTCTGGTATGACTTGGTAGTTCTCTGTATGGTTTGTTAGTTCTTGGGACGGTTTGGTAGTTTCTAGTTGGGTTTGGTAGTTTGTAGTATAGTTTGGTAGTTTCTAGTTGGATTTGGCAGTTATTGGTATGGTTTGGTAGTTCTTGGTTTGTTTGGGTTGTTTTAGGTTTGGTAGTTCTTGATATGGAGCGGTAGTTTCTAGTATGGTTTGGTAGCTCTTCGTATGGATTGGCAGTTTCTGGTATGGTTTGGTAGTTCTTGGTATGGTTTGGCAGTTTCTAGTATGGTTTGGTAGTTCATAGTATGGTTTGGTAGTTCTTGGTATGGTTTGGTAGTTTCTAGTATGGTTTGGTAGTTCATAGTATGGTTTGGTAGTTTCTAGTTGGGTTTGGTAGTTTCTAGTATAGTTTGGTAGTTCATGGTATGGTTTGGTAGTTTCTAGTTGGATTTGGTAGCTCTTGGTATGGTTTGGTTGTTTTAGGTTTGGTAGTTCTTGGTACAGATTAGTAGTTTCTAGTATGGTTTGGTAGTTCTTGGTATGGATTGGTAGTTTCTAGTATGGTTTGGTAGTTCTTGGTATAGGTTTGTGTGGTTTGGTAGTTCTTGGTATGGTTTGGTAGTTTCTAGTATGGTTTGGTAGTTACTAGTATGGTTTGGTAGTTCTTGGTATGGGTTTGTACGGTTTGGTAGTTCTTGGTATGCTTTGGTAGTTTCTAGTATGGTTTGGTAGTTACTGGTATGGTTTGGTAGTTCTTGGTATGGGTTTGTACGGTTTGGTAGTTCTTGGTATGGTTTGGTAGTTTCTAGTATGGTTTGGTAGTTCTTGGTATGGGTTTGTTTGGTTTGGTAGTTCTTGGTATGCTTTGGTAGTTTCTAGTATAGTTTGGTAGTTACTGGTATGGGTTTGTATAGTTTGGTAGTTCTTGGTATGGTCTGATTGTGTTTGGACTGGTCTGGTAGATTCTGATATGGTTTGGTAGTTTTGCCACAGGTTTAATAAATTGCAAGACTTTTGGCTATAATTGCCAAAGGGATACACTAAGGAACAGGTAAATAAGCGTGCATGTTTGTGTATTTGTGAGTGCGTCAGAGAGTGAGTGTCTGACCCTCCTCTAATCCATCCATGGCCTGTAATCGAATGATGTCTCCTTTATGGAAGCTGAGCAGAGCTCGGTCCTCTGTAATGTAGTTTCTTTCAGCCACTGCATACTCTGAATCCTGCAGAAAGAGAATGAGCGAGAGAGAGAGAGAGAACTTATTACGAGTAATTACGATTCTTTATACATTACTGTTCCTCCTGTAACGTTTTCTTACAATTATAAGGTCATGTACAAATCCAATTCCAAAGTTGGGACAGTTGGTAAATGTAAATAAAAAAACAGAACAATAATTTGCAAATGCTTTCTGGCCTGGATTCAACTGAAAACAGTATAAAGACAAGATATTGTATTTATACACTTCTATCAATTCTAAATTTGATGCCTGCTACAACACAAACATGTTGGGACAGGAGCATGTTCACCACCGTGTTACATCACCTTTCCTTTTAATATTCAGTAGCCGTTTGGGAAGTAGCCTTTCGGCCTTGCCTTTTATGCACAGAGATTTCTCTGGATTCCCTGAATCTTTTATATTATGCACCTTAAAGGGTATCTAAAATTCTTGCAAATACTTGTTGAGCGATGTTATTTTTAAACTGCTGATAGATTTTTTTGGCAAGCCTTTGGCATTTTGGCCCATAAAGGACTCAGTCTGTCCTAGACGTTCTTTTTATTCCCAAGTGTGACTGCATCAGCTATTTAGGATGTTTAACATTTCACAACGTTCCTAGTGTTAAACTGCCAACTTTTTTGGAAGACATTGCAGATTTCAGAATGAGCACATATTTACAAAAAACAATGTTCAAAAGTTTCAAAAGGTTCAAAAAGTAAAACGTCAAATATCTTGTTTTTGTAATGTTTCCGTTCAAATACTGGTCAAAGTGTCACATCACCATCTGGTTCTGTAGTACAAACACACAGACTCCAACTCCCAGAATCAACCTGGAGATCACACAACACCACCAATCATGAACAGTTTCAGAGATCAGCTTCACCAGAAAACTAATCAGCCACACCTGTTCATCATTTACAGACTCCTTTAAAGACTGTTTGTTCACAAACACGCAGTGCAAAGTATTGCCACTGTTCACAGAGTACGAAGCCTTTTTCTCTGTTATTTCTCCCTTTTAGTTAGGCTGTAATAACTGGACCTGCGGAAGTCTCTGTTGCTCTCTAACCCTCTGTGTGTTTTCCTTTTTTTATTGCCGAGTTGAACAGCCGCCCATCCTGTGCGTCTGATGCTGTTGCTTCTTCTGCCTTGCTTGCCAGCCTTCTGGACCGTTTCAGCCTTCTGGACCGTTTCAGCCTTCTGGACCGTTTTGACCACCACTGACCTTCACGCTACACTTTGACTCTGACTTTGACTTTGTTATTGCCTACTTTGTATCTTGACCCTTGTGTTTGTATCTTTGACCATATTTTTGCCTGTGCACTTTTGGATTTGCTGTGTTTTTGCCCTTCGGTTTTGACCTGTGTTTTTGCCTGTACTATTCCCTGAATGTCTCTTAGGCTTTGTTATAGTTTGTCTCTGGCTTTTTGACCCTAGCATGTTTTCTGATTAAGATTTTGGATCACATTTCTTCTAGTAAAGCCTCACATCATTTCATCTTTAAGCGTCTGACTCTTTGTGCAGCGATACTCAAAGGGAATTTACAAATCACTGCCTTCTGTTTTTATTTGCTGTCCCCACTTTTTTGGAACTGGGTTTGTGTACTTTTGTAGATCTGTTAGCAAATTATCATAAATTTTATGGCTACAAGTCAAAAACACTGTAACTGACATAGACATGGCAATGATGCTACAGGGAATCTGAGAGGAGAGAAAGAGGAAGAGAGATCTGAGCATTTGTACTACCCGAATACAGTACGACCAAAAATGCCATTGAAGGTTACTGAATGGGAGTTCAAACAGAGAGGGAAGAACAAAGGGAGTGAGAGAGAAGAAAAACAAAAAAAAAAACAAAGAGAGAAGACAGCTGACCTTCTTGAGCTGAGAGATGAAGAGGTCGACCATGTGTTTGATCTGTGGAGCTTTGGCTGAGAACAGGATCAGCTTCTCACTCATCAGGTTAAACTCCAGCATGTTGGGAGACGGGATGGTCACAAACAGGATGTCAGTGTAGCTACAAGAGAGGGAGAGAGAAATGAACAAGGTGCAGATTCTAAACTTTCAATCAATACCACGTGTGTTTTTGCTAGTAGAAGAGCAGATGTTTTATTATAATTTGGATTTGATGATTGTCATGTGAACAGACTTATATATATATGACCTTTTCGTACAGTACAGTGCAACCACAGACCACAGACCACACTTCATTTATTTAACCCTTAGAACCCGAAGCCTCTAAACATGTAGGTAACTTCTAGTCTTCATAACTTTAGAACAGTTTAAGCTCCAGACATAATACACATATCAGACCTTTCAGCAGACCCAACCCAAACTACCTAGCGTGATGTCCAATGAGCATTTTGAGATTAGAGATTTGAGTAAATGCTGTTAGAAGGAATGTGAAACAGGACTTTCATCGTGGACGGTCACCTGTACGGCCGCAGGACTCTGAAGTAGTCTGGAGCTGCAGCGCTGCTTTTCACTGTTTTCAGGAGTTTGATGCCAGAGTGAGAGACGGCCAGCACCTGGACTCCAGTGCCCACACTGCCCTGCAGCACACGCACAACAAACATTGTAGCATAGATGCCAAACTAAACGTCTGGGGTCCAAAAAGTAAAAGGGGCTCTTTGGTAGCAATACTGTGACGAATAGTTGGAAAACAAATCAAGATACTCTTTTGTCCAAAAAGTGAAAATGCTTTATTTACTACATAGAAAATCAAAAACGGGTGTACAGCTGCTGTCCTTCAAGATTCTGGGCAATTGATTTGTTTTCTATTAGTACTCACTGAAGCTGGGAAAAGACGAGAGAAATAAATCTCCCACGATTCTCGGGCAGCAGAGACCACGGCCTTCTTCACGCTCTCGTCCTGAACGTCTGTGTTCTGATCTATTTTGTGTTGCGCTGTCGTACACACACACACACACACACACACACACACACACACACACACACACACACACACGTAACAACTTCTTAATACAAGGAGCCAAAACTGTGAGAGCTTAGCAAAGCTAATCTGGAGACCTGAAGCTGACTTACTGAACAGAGCCTTCATTTTCAGCCTCTCGTCTTTGGTGATGCGCACACAGGCCTCTGAAAACGTGTCATTAACAATCTGAAGGAGGACAACAGTGAAAAAGTGGAGAAACAAAGAAGGGCTAATGTGGGATATGGGCACTGCCTCAGTCAGTACAGCAGAATCAGTTCACTCAAAATGGCTCAGGTTTAGTAGTTCTAGCTATATTATGGTTATTAAAGCATCAAAATAAGAAATAAAACCGTTTATGAATGCCGGTGAAATTCTACTGTCCTAACTGTGGGGGGCAGTATTGCTCTTACCTGCTTGAATATGATGTCCAGCACAAGAGGATGATTCCAGCTGTCCTTTGGGTAGAACACCTAATAAGAGGTATGTACTGTAAGACCACAGACATGACCAGAGCACTTTGTAGTTCTACAGTTACAGACTGTAGTCCATCTGTTTCTCTGCATACTTTGTTAGCCCACTTTTACCCTGTTCTTCAGTGGTCAGGACCCCCATGGACCCTCACAGAGCAGGTACTATTTGGGTGGTGGCTCATTCTCAGCACTGCAGTAACACTGACGTGATGAAGGTGTGTTAGTGTGTGTTGTGTTGGTCTGAGTGGATCAGACACAGCAGTGCTGCTGGATTCTCACCCTCTGAGCTCTTTCTGGCTGGATGAACTTTAGCAATATGAGCCAAGCACCAACCAATCAGATCAACGTACATGCTATATATATATATATCAGACACATACCTCCTTCCTGAGGTAGATCTTCCAAGGTACGTTGGTGTATGTGTAGTGTTCTTCAGTGCTGCTGCGGTGGAGCTGCGTTTGGATGGTTTCTGTTTCCACTGGAAGATCTCTGGACACTGGATGTGTGATAACAGAGAAAAGATCAAATAGTGATACTTTTTAAATTTTTGATAAATATTGAGATATTTGTAAAAAAAAAAATCTACCCAGATTTACTCAAAAAACCTAGATTTACCATAAAAATACTCAGAATTGCCCAATAATTTACCAAGATTAACCTAAACATTACCCAAATCTATCCAAAACATTGACCCAGATTTACCAAAACTTTCACCTAGATTTTTCTAAAAATTCCCTGTTTTGCCAAACATTTATCCAGATTTACCCAAAAAATTACCCAGATTTCCCCAATAAATGTACCCAGATTTGCCTACAAATCTACCTACATTTACCCCCAAAAATGATGTACCTAGATTCATCAAAACATATCCAAAAATTTTACAGTTTATATGTGTATATCTGTGTTATGATACTTAGCTATATACAATAATGTACTCAGATTTACAAAAAAGTTTATCCAGATGTGCTCAACAAATTGTCCAGATTAACCAACAATATAACTAGTTATACCCCAAAATCTACCCAGACTGAACAAACTGTCACTTTTGCAATGGAAAGAGTTAATTTAAATGACAATTAAGGCAACAGTTCACTATTCTGGTTAGGGCTGAAAAATATGGACAGAATATTGTACTGCAATTATGTTTCTATTTGTAATGATGGCAATAAACCTTCTGATACCCAGAAAACACATGATAAAGCCTTGATGTGGTTAAAGAAAGGCCTGCATGCTTTTAACTAAAATGACAGATTTGTTGGATCAAGTGAATCCTTGACTCGTTCAAACGCTCAAAGAACATCTGTGATTGGTCAGGATGCTCACAGCATCCTGTGCTTCCAACAAAGTGGCCAGTGAGTAGAAGCACGAGGTAGGTGTTTCTAATAAAGTAGCCAGTGAGTGGAAGCACAAGGTAGATGTTTCTAATAAAGTGGCCAGTGAATAGAAGTACAAGGTAGGTGTTTCTAATAAAGTGGCCAGTGAATAGAAGTACAAGGTAGGTGTTTCTAATAAAGTGGCCAGTGAGTGGAAGTACAAGGTAGGTGTTTCTAATAAAATGGCCAGTGAAAAGAAATACATGGTAGGTGTTTCTAATAAAGCGGCCAGTGAGGGGAAGTACACGGTGGATGGTAGGTGGATGTGTGTCTGTGTGTAAGTCTACGTCTTACCTGGTGGGGGAGGTATATTTAATGGGGGTTCTGGCGCCCTCTTCTTTGTGCTCTTAGTCGGTTTAAGGCCTGGCTCTCTTGATCCAGGTACAGGGGCTGGAGCTATTCTCTACACAAACCATTCAGAACACAAAATTTAGAATTTTCCCTGGGGAAGTCCTGATTGACAGACTTTGGGACAACAAGCATATCGTTGTGGCACTGATGCAGAACTTCTAGAAGGAGAAGCTGCTTATACCACACATCAGTATGAATTTTCGGTGATAAGATGACATTCTGATTTCACTGAACACAATTAAAAACAGCTGATCAGATTATGACTGGATCACTCACACGACATTCGGTCAGAGACGTGGCTCATCTGGGTGATACTTTAGTGAAAGTGTAAATGGAACCAAAGTTTATCCACATATGGACATGAAACATGTTAACGCGAGGTGTAAACAAGTTCACAGTGAGTGTGTTTACATGCACTTTATAATTCGATAAATGTCAGTAATCTGATCGACACGTTTACATGCACATAAGTGATCAGATATAGGGGAAACTCCAGGTCTATATGAATCAGGCAGTAATCAGATTTCTGCTTTACAACCAGCCAATAAACTCACAGAAGAAGACGTGATGTAAACATTTAAGACTCAAACTTCATGAGCAGCTTTTTTTTTTAAAACATCGAGTCACTTTTCCTGAAAATATGAACATACATCATCTAGAAGATGAAGAACATTTAGATCCTTTATTTTGTGTTTAGTTTCAGTGTCGCTCCAAAAGTGTTTTGCTGCGTCTCGCGGCGACGCTGCTTGCTTATTTCTGGTACCGCGGTCTGTTTCGCACATGCGCAGACTGAGAAATCCGAAAGAAATCAGAGTAAGAGTTCACATGCACCCGATAAATCTGATTACTGAGCTAAATTCTAGTCTCTTTATCAGATTTCTAGATTGCAGTATGGTGTTTACATGACCTTATGAATCATCGGATAACCATAGAAATCCGATTATGATCGGATTATTGAGCATTATTACTGTTGGCATGTAAACGCACTCAGTGTTTGCTTTAGTGGTTGCACCACGAATGGCAAAGTCTGACATATTTGTGCTTTAGTTTGCTCACTAAAAATGGCAGTTCAGGCCAAACCTGCATTTCTCATTTAAAATAAGAGGCAGAATGAACTGTGTGAAAAGGTTAGGGTCTAGGGTAACAGAACAAAAACACAAAGCACCTGTGGAGGAGGTGGATTGTCCATCTGCGTTTTCAGGATCTGCATGGCTTCGTCGTGTGGATTCATCTTTTTCACAAAAGCTCTGCCTTCTCGCCTGAAACAGACAAAATACCAAAGAGAAATTTAGCTTTCCAACCCAGAGCCACAAATGAAGTCCTGTGATTAATTAAAACTCTGAGAAAGTGAAAGCTTCCTCAGACAAAGACATGTAGATGCACGGCCGAACACAAAACACACACCTCCGTCTCTCTGGCGCTGGCTCTGGTGGTGGAGTTTGGTATTGTTTGATGATGTCCTTTATGTTGTGGCTCGGGACGATGTGCTCTGAGTTGGAGAGAGAATATTTAACCACTTCTGTAGCCGGAGATGGAGCAGAACGCATCGGACCCGAGACCGCCACTGGAGCTGAAAACGAGAGAGAGAGAGAGAGAGAGAGAGATATTATACACATACCTGTGCAAATCCTCTCACACATATGCAAGAAAAAACCGACAGAAGAACAGATGACACACCGTGTTTCTTGGCAGGCTTGTTGTCAATAGTAATTGGTTTTATTGGAGTGGGAGGAGCTTGCTTCTTCCCAAAACTCCCTTTTGTTCCTTTACCCTAAAACATAAGCAATGACACACAGAGTTACAGAGAAGCACAAGGGAGGTGTTTCTAATAAAGTGGCCAGTGAGTAGAAATATAAGGTATGTGTTTCCAATAAAGTGGCCAGTGAGTAAAAGTGCAAGGTAGGTGTTTCTAATAAAGTGGCCAGTGAGTAGAAATATAAGGTATGTGTTTCCAATAAAGTGGCCAGTGAGTAGAAGTGCAAGGTAGGTGTTTCTAATAAAGTGGCCAGTGAGTGGAAGCACAAGGTAGGTGTTTCTAATAAAGTGGCCAGTGAGTGGAAGCACAAGGTAGGTGTTTCTAATAAAGTGGCCAGTGAGTGGTAATATAAGGTAGGTGTTTCTAATAAAGTGGATGGCGAGTGTATATTAGAAGCATTGTGCAAATGTACCACAAGTTCTTCAAACCTGCGCTGCTGTGCTGCTCCGTGGCTGGGGGGTCTTTAGCGGGCTGATTTGACTGGACTGACCCTGCACTTCCGGCCTGGTGGGGGTTGAGGACACTGGGTTTGGGGTCACGCTTGGGTATGGGCTGACGAGTGGACCACTGTAGGAGGAGGATGGAGTGACGTGGGCGTAGGGACTGGGTGGGATGTTGGCGTAAGGGCTCGGAGGGACTGCAGGGTAAGGGCTGGGGGGCAGAGTGCCGTAGGGGGTTGGGGGTGGGCTTGTTGGTGGGCTGGTGATTGGAGAGAGGGGTGGGCTGGAGATGGGACTGGTCACCATAGCCATGGCCTGCATGGTCATCTGCTGGGCCTGAATAACAGACAGAGGAAGCATTTCAGTACATTGTTTTGCAAATACAGAGCAGATAATTAACCACACCAAACACCAACAATAATATCTATCTATCTATCTATCTATCTATCTATCTACCTATCTGTCTCTCTGTCTATCTATGTCTCTCTGTCTGTCTATCTATCTATCTATCTATCTATCTTTACTCAGTGCTGCAGTTCAGTCAATATGGATGAAGTCCCTATTTTACACCTGTAGATGGCAGCAGTTACAAAAGGCTAATTTCATGGCAGAAATACAACCAGTGCCTGCAGTTTTCATATCATATGTGGAGTTTAACCCCTTAAAATCTCAGGCTTATTACACAGTAAAGCTTATTATTCAGTAACTACAGGGACTTCAGTGCAAACTGGTTGAGCTATTCCTAGGTTATAGAAGTGTGTAATAACACTTTGGGCCATTTAAGGGGTTAATAGCACCATTATTTCAGAATTTGCTTAGAGCATTGACCACTGTGATCCGATTGTCTTGCTGTGATTTACTGTGATATATGAAATCATGATACATATCATGCTGAGTAACACTGTGGGCTATGTCGTACTACCCAGTGGGTACTTTCTCAACACTTACCATAATGACAGCCTGCTGGTTGATGATGGCTTGTTGTTGCTGGGCCATGACAGTTTGAGGATCTGAGAGACATGAGACGCAAAATGAGTCAGAAACATCTGGCACTCTGCTCGGTCCCAGCAGCTCTTTACTAACTGAGCTCAACTGCAGTTTCACACACCTGGAGCAGACGGCACTGTGGGGACATTGGGGATGAGCGGTACTGCTGGAACAGGGGGCAACACTCTGACCGCTGCAGCATACACACATATACATTAGTTAAATGAGGCGAATGCACTGATTTCAGTTCACTCAGGGTGTCTCTGTGTGCGTTTTACCTCCCGGTTGCAGAGCTGCTGAGTAAGGCACGCTGGCTGCGGCTGGAACTCCGTTGCCATGGCTACCACCCACACCGCCTCCCCCTTTCATTCTACCAGACAGGAGAGATGCATCCATATCCTGGAAACAGAGAGAGAGAGAGCGAGAGAGAGATAGAGAGAGATATGAATGTAGCTTATCTCTTAGGGTCCCGACACACCAAGCTGACCGTTTTGACCGATTGAGAATTTTGAATCGATGGTTGGCCGTGAGAGGAAGCTGAGAATCGGTGGACACACACAGAGAACAGCCTCACTCTTACAGGTTTCAACTATTTTTGATATTAAAGTGTCCACATTTTTAAATGAACAGTATTTGAATATCGTCACTGTCCAAAGATAAACATGTATTTCCAAAATAGTAACTTTACAGCAGAAGGCAAAACATTCTTTAGTTTTAATGTAAGTCAATGGGGAGAGTTTTTTTTTTCTAAGCAATTTTGGTCCATTTTTATTGGTCTATTTATCACAAAATTTTCACACAATGTAAAGAACGATCACTGTGCTCAAATGATGTAGAAAAGTGAAAATGGCAGAAAAAATGGAGAGTGTTTTTCATTGGACAGCGATGATATAGTATTTCCAATATTCCCAAAAATATTAAGAAATAAAAAAGTAACAAGAAATATTGCTACAAATAAGCACTAAAATAAAATAAAGCATGGGATACTAACTTGTTTCATTAACCTTTTTATGTGTTGTCATGTAATTATGAACGTGAGTGTTTTATATCACTGCTTAATGTGCAAACTTTCACATTTAATTTGCCTTTTTCTTACCCACCAGCCCAGCACTGCTAACAGTGGTTTAATCCCACTCTGGATTTAGCTTAAACACAGACATTCAAACAAAAATACAATATATTTACATATTTAGTCTGTATGTTGTGGTTAGACTACTGCAGCTCCTGCTATAGAAAGCTGTTCCCTTTTGCATGGTTGCATTACGTATGTGCGGGTTGGGCATTGGCTGTAGTTTTTGCGGTGGGTGCACATCACAGTATTCATTTTTCTGAGGTTGGAACAACCTGTAGTGCCACATTTAATAAATATCATCAAAAACTATGAATAGAATTACTTTTTATTCAGCGTTTCATAAACTGCCTGCACTGAATCTAATTAAATTAAATCCAATTAAACAGGACTAATTATCCTCCTTTTGTAATGAAACATGCAGCTGGTCAGTGTTGTTTAAGTGCTGATGGTATACATCCAAAATCTTTTGACACTTATGACACTCAAAACTGTGATGTAAATAATTACAAAATAAATGTACACAATGTGTGTAAAGGACTGAACCCCCCTGGTCAAATTATATGTTCTTGCTGTTTTTCTAAGTGAAAATAGGTTAACACATCCTCTACAGGGAACACACTCAAAATCTGGCATTTTCTGCTAATTTTAGCACAATACTGGACAAAAAAAAACAAAATATTAAGTGCTATAAATTTTGCACAGGCCACATTTTATGTCTTATTCTTTTCCTGTATCTTAAATTCAGCAAAGAAACAATAATTATGCATTAAAATGTGCAGATGTGTTATTTTCACTTAGAACATCACCAAAAACATGTACTTTGACCAGGGCTGTTCATACTCTCCTCTATCTACAGCAGATTTTAAACCGTTAGACAGTGCAATGAAGTCATTTCTCCTGTAATGACGTTTGTTCTACATCAGACTGTCTGTTTAAATGTGGGCCGCAGCTCATTAAAAAGTAATGTCCTCATTTGCTGAGTGTCATTGGCTTGTACTGCATGCAAAACGATCAGCACACACACACATACACACACACACACAGCGCTCACAGGATAAACCAAAGAAATGTGTCTGTGAGAATTACCGTAACTGAAATGGAATCACCTTTCCTTACGCACACTCAGGTCAGGTAGCATTTACGGAGCACTCAGCATACTTGTATCTCAACTTTCTCAATTACACACCTGATATACACCCAATTCAGCCCTCAGGGAGTGGGGGTGGGGGGTGTGTGTACATACGTGTGTGTGTAGTGTCAGGCACGTGTGTAAAAGCGTGAGTACAGGGTGGAGGATTTCAAGACATTTCTACAGTGTGCACAGCTATTCATTTAACTAGTCATATATATATATATGTGACTAGTAACATTATGACCACCTCCTTGTTTCTACACTCATTGTCCATTTTATCAGCTCCACTTACTATATAGGTGCACTTTGTAGTTCTACAGTTACAGACTGTAGTCCATCTGTTTCTCTGCATACTTTGTTAGCCCCCTTTCACCCTGTTCTTCAGTGGTCAGGACCCCCATGGACCTTCAGAGGGCAGGTACTATTTGGGTGGTGGGTCATTCTCAGCACTGCAGTAACACTGACGTGGTGGTGGTGTGTTAGTGTGTGTTGTGCTGGTCTGAGTGGATCAGACACAGCAGTGCTGCTGGAGTTTTTAAACCCCTCAGTGTCACTGCTGGACTGAGAATAGTCCACCAACCAAAAATATCCAGCCAACAGCGTCCTGTGGGCAGCGTCCTGTGACCACTGATGACCAATGATAGAGGATGACCAACACAAACTGTGCAGCAGCAGATGAGCTATCGTCTTTGACTTTACATCTACAAGGTGGACTGACAAGGTAGGAGTGTCTAATAGAGTGGACAGTGAGTGGACACAGTGTTTAAAAACTCCAGCAGCACTGCTGTGTCTGATCCACTCATACCAGCACAACACACACTAACACACCACCACCATGTCAGTGTTACTGCAGTGCTGAGAATGACCCACCACCCAAATAGTACCTGCCCTCTGAAGGTCCATGGGGGTCCTGACCACTGAAGAACAGGGTAAAAGGGGGCTAACAAAGTATGCTGAGAAACAGATGGACTACAGTCTGTAACTGTAGAACTACAAAGTGCACCTATACAGTAAGCGGAGCTGATAAAATGGACAATGAGCGTAGAAACAAGGAGGTGGTCATAATGTTATGCCTGACCGGTGTATATATAAATACACATGCACATGCAATATAGTAACAGCAAAACTGAACAGTACATAGATAAACCTATGTTAATACTGCTTTCTAAATACTGAATATGTGAGCAAAAACGCAGCTAAATGTTATTTCCCATCTGAATAAGTTATTCGGCAGCTTTTTGTTCACATTTTCTATTCCACCTTACATTTTACAACAAATGAGCCTATCGAAATGGGCCAGAATTATTAGGAAAATATCTTCTTACATTAACAAATTTGAGGACCAAGATGAATAATTTTTCCCTTTCCTGTAAAATGTACCAAAAATAGTCAGAATCCATTTTTACATGACCACTTTCCAACTTGTCTTTTTCTCTTAGAAAATAAACAGGCTGTACTGCGCCATTAAGACTGATGTAAATGAGCTCTGTTCTGATTGGCAGTTCTGTACTGTGCCTCATTCAAAAAGCAGTGCAGGCTGAAACACTCCTTTTATAACTTCAGTAAGACCAGAACTGCTGTAGACTGAATAGGCAGATGTATGTAAATTCTCATTACATCACAGAAACAATGAATTCAAAACAGGCTGTTTGCAGATTCGTTTCCATATATGGACTGTTTGGAGTGGGTAGTGAATGGTTTGAAATTTTAATAATGTTTATATCGCTGTTGTTGGAAGAAAATGTGCTCCATTTTTGTCATTTTTCAGTTTTTGACATTATTTGAAAGTGTAAATGTACATTTCATGATGAATGGACCACAAGAAACTGTCCAGAATGACTTGGAAAAAAAGTCTGGTTTCGTTGACTTACATTACAAGTAAAGTAGGTTTTTTTCCTTCCTCTGTAAAGTTACCATTTTGCAGAAACGAGGTTTTCTTCCGAAAACAGCGATACATTACTTCTACAAACTTACTACAAACTCTTTTATCTAAAAAAAAGCAAGGGACATTTGTTTTTCCCAAACATGGGTGCTTTCATAGAATCATTTCATAATTTATTCAAACATTTTATTTTTATTTTATTGATTCCAAACATTTGAACGCTAGTGGACATGGGACTAACCTCTACTGTATGTTTGTGAGACAGGAAACCAAATGTTTTGTATGTGTATGTGCTTTAATGTCAGTGGATCAGGTGTCTCCGTACCCCATTTCTGTCTGACAGTACAGGGTCAAACAGGCTGTCCAGATAGCGGTCCATTCCCTTGTGAGCTCCGTCATATGATGGATCTGAATCTGTTAGACAGACAGAGATGCATACACACAGCAGAGTGAATTCACCATTAACACTTTAGACATCACTGACCCAAAACTTCTACAGGACGCTATGACATATAAAAGGCACTGACTGGCCAGTTTATTAGAAACCCCTCTCTTGTAGCTCCACCTTGTTGGTGTACAGTTAGGGACTATAGCTCATCTGTTCACGAACAGTTTGTGTTAGTCATCCTCAGATCCTTCACTGGTGGTCAGTTTCGGACCACAGAGCCACTCTTTTCTGGGTATTTTTGGTTGGTGATTCACTCTCATAAAACTACAGAAACACTGCTGTCGAAAATGGACAACAGCAGTCGTGTGGTCAGAAACTGACCAGTGATGTACAGTCCCGAAGTACCCCTGCTCTGCTTTCTCTGCTTTAACACCCACATCAAGGGCTTTTTAATTAGCTGATCAGTTGGATCAGGTTGTGTCTGGATCAGGACGGCTGACAAATTGTGCATGACGACAGACGAGCTGTAACTGTACACCTATATATAGTGGACCTATAAGGTAGATGGACCGCATGAACTGGACGGTGAGTAGATGTACAAGGTGGAGTGGATGGAAAGTGTACATCCATATATGTATAGTGGAGTATAGCCAGAATCTAAGTCTGTTAATGCTTGCAAATAATAGGAGTAAACTAGGCAAACAGCTTTGACTCAATATGCCTTTGATACCTTTATGACATCACTTTCTGATGCTATACCTTAGATACCTTTATGACATCACCTTTATATGTTATGCCTTAGATACAGTTATGACATCACTTTCTGATGCTATACCTTAGATACCCTTATAACATCACCATTATATGCTATACCTTAGGTACCCTTATGACATCACCTTTATATGTTATGCCTTAGATACACTATATGGACAAAAGAATTGGGACACACCTCTTAATCATTGAATTTGGGTGTTTCATTCAGTCTCATTGTCACAGGTGTATATAATCAAGCACCTAGCCATGCAGTCTGCCTGTACAAACATATCTGAAAGAATGGGTCGCTCTAAAGAGCTCAGTGAATTTGAGTGTGGCTCTGTAATAGGATGCCGCCGCTGCAACACATCAGTTCGCAAAATTTCTTCCCTCCTAGATATTCCACGATCAACTGTGAGTGAGTTATTGGAGTGGAAACATGAGAAGAAAATGATGAAATGTGCTGTTGGGAAGCAAATTTATGACTGCAGCCTTCCAAAAAATCCTGACAACCAATCAGAACAGAGATCATTTACATATATCAGTATATCAGGCCCAGTTACAATAACATCCTGTTTTATTCTAAGGCATAAATAGAGGCTGGAAAATGGTTATGCAAAAATGAATCATGCCTGTTTTTGGTACATAATCCATGAAAATTTACCATACATCATATTTCCAGCTGCTTTACCGATGTAAATACTGAGCTAGGGTCTGAAATGAATCAGTTCCATAAGGAAGGCTTTAGAAATTCTGTTTTAAAATACAGTCCTAGGGGGTCTGACACACATGGAGCTCAAGGGAACCACTGTAACTGAACCAGGGCAATCTTTTTAATAGTCAATGATATGTACATGTTCACTTGGGGTCGTAAGGCCTTATAAAGTTACTCTGCCTGAACACACACACATAAACATGCTTGTGAGTATCCTGTATATAATTACATTAGCTGCATGTAACCAAGTCCTACATATAAACTGACTCTACTGGACATGGAAAGACATGGACATGCTATCAACCGAAGTGGACACTGTGTGTGTTACCTTGACTGTAGTGGCCTTCAGAGATTGGCAGGCTGTTGGTTACCATGGCACTGACTCTGTTCGCATATGAGAGCGGTGCTTCCTCATCCTCATTGAATCCACTTCCAAAGAGGCTTCTGTGAACACATGAATCCACACAGAGCATGTTTGAATAATAGCCAATGCTCTTAATTAAATACTGCCACCTGTATTTCACTGTTATCGGAAGAAAACCTTGTATCTCCAAAATGGTAACTTTACTGTAGAAGGAAAAAACATACTTTACGTTTAATCTAAGTCAATGGAACCAGAATTTTTTCCAAGTCATTTTGGGCTGTTTCTTTTGGTTCATTCATCACGAAATTTACAGACAATGTAAAGAGCAACAGGCATTTTCAAATTATGTCAAAAACTGAAAAATGGAGGTACGAGGTTTTTATCCGACAGCAGTGATATACACACATTACACTTACAAATACACAAACGTACATGCTTGCGTTGGGCCGTGCTCTGTTGGGATCGTGTGTGGAGATGATGAAGTGTGTTTTCTGTTTGGGGAAGTCAGCGGGCAGCTCGAGATCACACACCAGGTCCATCACGTAGTCGTGACCCTCCAGCTCCACCCACTGACCCGGCTCCTTCATCAGCACCGACCATCCATGCCTGTTCTCCGAGGACACGCCCCTGCAACCAACAAACACGTCAGATTACAGGACTGATTTGATTTTTGGGGGTCATTCTACAGAAACGTCCACTTTTCTATCTCTCCGTAGGGGTCACTGGTGTTACCAATCCTCACTGGTGTTACACATAAGAAAGGTAACACCAGAGACATTTTAATGAAAAATGCATTTTACAAAATAACTGCTACAGAACATCAAACCACATGCTGTCAATCCTGGAATATCCACTAAAATATGTCATTTAATCCATTTGTGTTCTATTTTTTCACAATTACCTAAAAATAAAGTAGGTCACACCAGTGACTTCAGCTAAAAGCTTCATATGAAATCATGAGCTCAATGAGAAAATTTCTGATAACTGAAAGACACAGTGGACACATGTGCTTTTCTTTATAGATCCTCATAAAATAGGTAAAAGGAAGTCAAGTGATGTCATCAGTGTGATTTTTATTTCAAAATAAGAGATTTTTGTTACGCAGTTACACCAGTGACACGACTCCTGGGGACAACAACTTTCATTATATATTTTATAATGTTTATTTGGCATTTGTTTTCTTTGTCATTTAATTTGTATATTCCATAGTCATGTATAGATGATTGTAGTTAAAATTGCAGAAGAACATTTCCCGGAGTGTCACACTCCCTCCAGCAGCTTGTCCTCTTCCCACAGAGCCATCATGTCCCCAGGTAAACACTGCACACGTACCTGGCCGTCCACATAATGTAAAGAAAACAGGACTCATTGTACCAGGCAACCTTCTTCTATTCCTCCAAGGTCCAGTTCTGTCGTTTGCGCGCCCCTTGCAGGTGCTTTTGACGGTGGACAGGGGTTAGCATGGGCACTCTGACCAGTCTGTGACCGCGCAGCCACATACACAGCAGGGTGCGATGCACTGTGTATCGTAACCATCATTAAAAATTTCTGTGACTTGTACCACAGTAGCGCTTCTGTCGCAGATCGCTGTCAGTAGCTGCTCACCACTGCTGACCAGGAGCACCCCACAAGCCTTTCTGTTTCAGAGATGCTGGAGGTCTGGCCACAATGATTTGGCCCTTGTCAAAGTTGCTCAGGTCTTCCTGCCTGCCCACTTCTCACATGTTCCAATATGTCGAGGAAGAAGTTGTGTTCTGAGACACGTAAGCTGGACGTCCGTCCCAGCCGCTGTCTTTTAAAGATCAGAGCATAAACTTCGTCTCCTCTGCAGACCAGTTTCTGCTCCCACCATGTTGAACGATATAAACTTTCACTATGTCGCGACGAACATGACCAGAACGTACTTAAACTTTCTGATTGGGAATGTAATCAGATACAGGCGTTTACATGGTGATTATTCCTCTATTTAACAGATTAATTACAGGATTACCCACCTCGTTCAATCTGATAGAAACTGTATTCCGAATGACCTCAATTGGACTAGTCCATTCTTATTGAGCTGGACGTCTGGCCATAGTGATTTGGACCTTGTCAAAGTTGCTCAGGTTTAGAGAACTGCTTAGTGTAGACGTTACCATGACAACTAGCATCACTGAGTCCAGTCAGAGTGAGATGAGCAGCAGTGAGCAGTGCTTGTATTTTTAATTACTTTAAAATGATGTCAGACTCAGGAAAACGTCCTTCACATGTCCTTATTAAAGACGTTGTGTTCTGAGACACATAAGCTGGACGCCCGTTCCACTGCCATCTTTTAAATGGAGAAGAGCACAAACTTCGTCTCCTCTGCAGACCAGTTTCTGCTCGGCCATGCTGAACGGTATAAACTCTCACTATGACGTGACCATGATCAGAACATGATTAAACTTTCCGATAGGGAATGTAATCAGATACAGGCGTTTACATGGATATTATTCTTCTATTTAACAGATTATTTACAGGATTTTCCACCTCGTTCAATTGGATAGAAATTGTATTTCGAATGGCCTCAATCGGACTAGACTATTCTGACTGAGGTATTTACATGGATGTATTCTGTTACGATAGAGCTATTAGTTGGATTATTAATGGATTATTAGGCAGCATGTAAACATGGCTAGTGTTAAAGAAATCTTGACTGCTAGCATAGTAGAACCTAATAAATACAGACATGACATTTAGCAGTAATGTTAGCCACGTTGGCTTCCATCTGCATTTGCCAACGACTGGGAAAAAACTTAAGCAGCCCATCTCCATGTAGCCCAACGGCAGTTTTTTTTAGAAGTTCCTCCCACAAGGGAGTTTTCCCAGTCTTTAATCTAGAAAACCTCACTCTAGTGATGTGGTACTGCTTTAGGATGTGAGTCGGCTTGTTTACAACAGATGTAGCAGTGGTTACATTTTCCATTTTGGCCTGTGTGTCCCTTAAATATCAGGTTACTATTACAAAAAAACCTTACCTGTGCTGCAAAACATCGCCTGCCACTTCCTCACCACTTGTCCAGGAGTGGACTGGACACAGGAAAGATACTCCTACACAGAAACGCAAATGAATTAAGTATCATCGTTAATAAAATATGAGATAAAGTACATGCTAAACTTACAAGGACTGCAAAAACTTGTAATTTCATTGTAATTTCTCATTTTTCTTATAAGAATGCAGCCTAACCTCCAACCTACATACATTTAATGGATGAAAGAACATGTGAAAGAACATTACAGTGCAGCGTACTACATAACAGGTTACATAATAGCTGCAGAAGCCTTAGGGCAAGCAGAGCCAGAGCATAGAGAAAGAGTACCTTATCAGTAAGCCTGTGCACCTCTCTCCAACCCCCCCACCACACACTATCAGATATCGACTAATCTGCATCAACTCAACCAGGCGAAGACAGAGAGACAGAGTGACTGGATGAGACAAGAGGGACTGAAACACACAGAGAGAGAGAGATTAAAGAAAAAAGACTAAGAGGAAAGAGATAGGGAAATGAGAGAGTAGCAGATTAGCTGGAGTGAAGAGAGGAGAGATAAATGACTGCAGTCCTGATTTCCATCGCAATGACTTGATTTAAAGCATTCAAACTAAATATGGTTTCAAGCCATGCTATCATGAGTAAGTGCTGACACTCCAAACTATCACTGCTTTTATTCTGCCATCTCCTTTTCATCTTCACTGGCTATTTAATGGACCAGCCTAGTCATTAAATGATACTACAGCAGTTGAGCGCTGGTTGGAAATCTCTTGCTTTACCAATAGACTCCTGTTGCAGGAGTCATGCCACTAAGGTCATAAGGATGGCGAGTGAGAAAGAGGGTCTTACGATATACAACTCTCCACAATCCATTCTCCATTTCATACAATTAATGTAAAATGCACTTATTTAATATGCATTTAACTATGATCATACAATAACAATGATATGATGGCCTATTCAACATGTCTTTTAACTTTATTTAACAGTACAGCACAATCTAAGCAGTGTCCTGTTCTACTATGGCTATGACATCTTAGTTCCTTATTTAATGTGCTGTTTAACTACAGTTATGAAATAATTATAGTTTAACGGCATGTTAAATAAGGAATTGTAATGTCATAACTGTAGTTAAACAGCATATTAAATAAGGAATTATAAAGAATTAAATTATAGGAAATTAAATAAGGAATTATGACATCATAATTCCTTATTTAACATGCCGTTAAATTATAACTATGACATCATACTTCCTCATTTAATATGCCCTTAACTACAGTTACGAAATAATTATAGTTTAACGGCATGTTAAATAAGGAATTGTGATGTCATAGTTATAGTATAACGACATGTTAAATAAGGAATTGTGATGTCATAACTGTAGTTAAACAGCATATTAAATAAGAAATTATAAGGAATTAAATAAGGAATTATGACATCATAATTCCTTATTTAATATGTTGTTTAACTACAGTTATGACATCACAATTCCTTATTTAACATGTCGTTATACTATAACTATGACATCATAATTCCTTATTTAATATGTTGTTTAACTATGTCTATGAGACCATAATTCTTATTTAATATGGCATTTAATGATGAATATGATATCATAATACTGTATTTATTATGCTGTTCAACTACCGCTACAACATAATAATTTCTGATTTAACATGGCATTAACTATGGCTATGATATCATAATTCTTTATTTAATATGCTGTTTCACTACAGCTATGACATCATGATTTATTATTTAATATGGCAATTAACTATGGCTGCAACATCACAATTCCTTATTTAACATGGCGTTAAACTATGACTATGATATCATAATTCTTTATTAATATGCTGTTTAACTACTGCTTTGCTATCATAATTCCGTATACTATGTTTAACTGGCTATGACATCATAATTTATTATTTAGTATGGTGTTTAACTATGGCTATGATGTCATAATACCTAATCATAACTGAAACGCAGATTTGAAATATAGGTTAATTATATATTTTTTTTCTTGCTAAGAATTGTTGATATACGATGTTTAGTAGTTCTACACAGCTTGGCCTTGTTCAGGCTGCCGTACCGTCGAAGCAGTGCACCTGCAGGACCATGTGGGCTTTCTTGCGGTTGGCGGTCCACTCCAGCAGAGACAGGGGGTAGGTGCGGGCCGCCTCAGGGCCCAGGTGGGACTTCTGCATGGCCTGGAGCAGCTTGTGCTGGCACAGCGCCTTAAAACCGTTCAGAGCGAAGTCTGACACAAACCTGAAAGAGAGAGAGGGAAGCAGAAACAGAGAGATAGCGAGAGAGAGAGAGAGAGAGAGAGAGAGAGAGAGAGAGAGAATCTAAAAGAGGGCTAGGATATAAACTGAGGAGCCACCAGCACTGACAAGAAAACTTTGTAAACCTTGTAAACACACATAACATCTGTAACTAAACGCTGATCTGCTTCAGTTCCAGCTGGCTGTATGGTTCACTAATGAAGAGACCCTGCTTGGCCAAATCTCAAACTGAGGTTCATGAACAAGCTGACCATTCAGGTAAAGGCAGGTAACCGTCTAGAAGATAAGGGTACCATAAAAATACAAATTAGATATACAGTCACACGCAAAGTTTGAACACCCCTCGTCAAATTACAGGTTTTGTTGATGACAAAATATAAAACATATCAAAACTGCTTTAATTTGCTATTAAAGTAATGCAGAATGAAATGCAGAACCTCCTTTTTAGGTCATTACTATTCAACTATTCCATGTTGGAACGTGACTACTCAGCTGGGTGAAGACAGTCAGGTACCAGCAAGCGAGCGATAAAGCACTGAGAGAGGAAGCCCTTACTGGTCCGTGAAATTATTCAAGACTACACAATATTCATTTAGGTGTGAATTCTAATTGAAGAAGTAAGAAGCCCCTAATTGCAGCATGTAGACTATAGTCTGTACCATGGTTGACAACAGAGAACACCAATTGTGACTCTCCTCACTGCTATTGCTGTTTTGCTGTATTCTGCGTATTTAGCGGGATGTTGTGGTTTCGGGTGGTATCAAACTTGGAGAAGTCATGGGCTGGAGGTTAAGGAGCCAGTTGGGGCAGTCATGGGCTGGAGCCAGCCTTGTTACTGGAAGGTTGCCGGTTCAATCCCCTGAGCCGACAGTACGTGACTGAAGTGCTCTTCAGCAAGGCACCTAACCCCCAACTGTTCCCCGGGCGCTGTGGATAGGGCTGCCCACCACTCCGGGCAAGTGTGCTCACTGCCCCCTAGAGTGTGTTTACTAGTGTGTATGTGGTGTTTCACTGCACAGATGGGTCAAATGCGGGGGTGAGATTTCCCCGTTGTGGGACTAATAAGGGTCAATTAATTCACGTCAACAGAAATTAGAAATCATACGTCTAATTTCTCTTTTAGAAACTGTTCCATGTGACTATTTTTACTGTTGATCTGCTGCTTCTCAAACTGTTTAAACACGCATGCTCTATTTATCACTATTTCCCATAGCATTCACTATTTTCACTACCATTTAAATAATCTGTAAAGTCTTCTGTGATAGATGAAGCAAGATTTTGAGTCTTACTTCAGCAGATATTTCTCCATTTTCTCACTCGGGGCGAAGGAGCTCAAACAGGCCGCCATCAGCAGCCAGCCTCGCTCTGCGTTGCGCTGGTTTCCATTCCGCCACACCTGATTGGCCACCTGCGCCAAAATCTCATCCCTGATCGGTGGAGTGGCCAGGCCCCGCTGGATGATGTAATTTCCAAACAGGTTCTCCTGAGCACCGTTCAAGTTTGGGTCCCCCATGAAACGCAAAATCTATAAAAATGATTGGACCAATTAAATAAAGTACACTAGACACAATAAATCCAGTTATACTGTAAGACATGCATACAGGAAATGAGAACAGGACTGCATTTAATGTAACTTTACCAATAAGAAGACGTCAAGAGCGTCTTGTTTTAGGTCGTCCTCCAGACGAGTTAGTGGAGCTTGAAGAGGTGCTGTAAGCATCCCAAATTCCAGATCCTGCACACACATTACTCATATAAGTACAGCCATGGGTGTATATCCAGCGTGTGTGTGTTTTTATGTGTATAAGTGCTCTTACTCTGAAGTTTGAGCGGATGTATTTGGTCATTAGGTGGTTGTTGATATCCAGAGGGAGAGTGAGCTGAGGATCGACCTGCACTCTCGGAGCCTGAACCAAAGCGAGGCACTCTGAATGCAACTCCTTACCAGCTGTGAAAACACATATAACATATTAATATACACTGGAAATCAGCAAGAACTGTTGGAAAAAATAAAATAAGACATTAAATGCACAGACCACATTTTGTTTTATTTTTTAACCCAATATGTTAAATTCAGCAAATAAACGAACAGTAACTATGCACTAATCATGCAGAAGTGTGTTCTCTGTAGAGGAGAACACACAGTAGAGGTAATTTGACCAGGTGTCAAAACTTTTGCACATGACTGTACATACACTTTCAGCTACTTTAAATGAACAGATACACCGATCAGGCATAACATTATGACCACCTCCTTGTTTCTACACTCATTGTCTATTTTATCAGCTCCCCTTACTATATAGGTGCACTTTGTAGTTCTACAGTTACAGACTGTAGTCCATCTGTCTATCTGCATACTTTGTTAGCCCCCTTTTACCCTGTTCTTCAGTGGGCAGGACCCCCATGCACCCTCACAGAGCAGGTGCTATTTGGGTGGTGGATCATTCTCAGCACTGCAGTAACACTGACGTGGTGGTGGTGTATTAGTGTGTGTTGTGCTGGTGCGAGTGGATCAGACACAGCAGTGCTGCTGGAGTTTTTAAACACCTCAGTGTCACTGCTGGACTGAGAATAGTCCACCAACCGAAAACATCCAGCCAACAGCGTCCTGTGAACATCTACAAGGTGGACTGACAAGGTAGGAGTGTCTAATAGAGTGGACAGTGAGTGGACACAGTGTTTAAAAACTCCAGCAGCACTGCTGTGTCTGATCCACTCAGACCAGCACAACACACACTAACACACCACCACCACGTCAGTGAGAATGATCCACCACCCAAATAGTACCTGCTCTGTAAGGGTCCATGGGGGTCCTGACCACTGAAGAACAGGGTAAAAGGGGGCTAACAAAGTATGCAGAGAAACAGATGGACTACAGTCTGTAACTGTAGAACTACAAAGTGCACCTATATAGTAAGTGGAGCTGATAAAATGGACAATGAGCGTAGAAACAAGGAGATGGTCATGATGTTATGCCTGATCACATTCAAATGAAGAGCCAACAACTGAGTCTCAATAACAATTTTTGCAGCTTCATTTGGTGACACTGACACACTGGTGCATCAACGGAAGCTCAAAAATCTAATATCAGTGTTGAGAAAGCACACAGCTGTGAGTGAATGACCTGCAGTGGCCAGCAGCAGCCCTCCCAGTTCAGCAGGAATCACCAGCTGGGACACGTTAATGACCTCACGGCTGGCTCGCTCCTGTGAAAAGAGAGACGAAAAGACTCCACATTAAAATAATTTGTAAAGTAATAAGAAAATAACTAAAAATCTAATTTAAACAATGTTTCCTCTTAGTCCAAATGTAAGACATGTTTGGTGTCGGAAGTTTGCTTCTTCAGTTTTCACTGTAGCTACGAGGCCAACGTGGTTAGACGTAATGGATGTTTATAGCCAACTACTAATGCCGATGGTAATGGACTCCTATACACTGTCAGAAACTACATAAGAAAGTCTATTTGAGAGTTTGCCTTAGTTTTAAGATAAGCGTGTGAAACTCTGTTTAGGCGCATAGTTAGCATGTGTTTGCTAATTAGCACGCTATCCATCGTATTTTTCACGTGACCGCTGTAATTCGAGATTATGGCTGGAATTTTAGGAAATGGAAGTGTCATTGATTACTGTTTTAGCCAGGTCAAAAAGTCATTTTGTCCCATTACTTTTTTCTGAGATGTTTCCGGGACAATGTGCAGTCTGCGGCTGTCACTAAGCTGAAAGTACATCAAGAACAGCATCTGATGAGCACAAAAACCAAAGAACGTCAGCTGTCATGCGAATGTGGCTTCATAAAGACTCCTTAATAAAGCCTAGTTAAAATCTGAGCCCATAAAATGCAGCCAGATGATAATCTTCTAGTTGAACCTCACTGGTTGGTGTTAACAGACTCTCTATGACTGGTTTATACTTTATATTCTCTTCATAACTGTCTATATTCTGCCCTCACTAGACCAGTCAACAGGAAGCTAACAGGCTAACTGGCTAACAGGCTAACGCCACAATAATAAAAGACACACTTATTTTTCAAGCCTTTAAAGTAGGAATTACTTAAAAACTGAGACCTACACAGCAAAGAATGTCACTTGCACATCAGTTAAGAGCTTAAAATGTCTGTATTTAAACTAGAGCTGACATCAAAACCTAATATAGCGCCGAGCTAACCCCGCTAGCTAGATGCTAACATACTGTGGTGAACATACAAGATGCGTTAGCGCAGCGCTGTTTGAGAAATAGATGTCTACATTAGAAATAGCTATGTAAAGGCATCGCTTTATAGTTTTCTGCTTGTACCTGACTCTCAGTATGACCACAGTTCAAAAAGATGAAATGAAATGACTTTATTAGCGTGAGTAACTCATGTAGGGTATAAACAGGATACTGACTGAAGCGCTTCTCTCATACAGGTTCAAGTGTTGACAGACTGATTACAAACGACGGCACAAAACCATTCAGCCATCCCTCTATGAATGTTATTATATTTTTAATTTTTTCCCACATTTCCATCATGTCAGGATGTTATACGCAACTAATGTGTTGTCTGTTTATGGTTCACCAGAAGTTCTGTCCATACTTGTTAGCTATGTTAGCCTCATAGCTTCTAAGCAAGCAAACTTCAGACACCAAGCAGATCTTGGCAGACTGACTACAGGGGAACCCCCTTTTTCTGGGAGGCATAAAAGCATAAAAATAGCATGTCTGTAATTTTTAGTTCATTTTTATTCAATAAAATCATGTTTGTATTTAAACTCTACGAGTATTATAATACTGCTAGAAACTGAAAATAGCGACAGCAGCTCTATACCACAGCTCACTACTGATAGAGTCAATGTGAAATTGCTATAAAAAATAAACTATATGCTAATATGCCTGTCACAAACTTCAAGCAAAGCATGGAACGTCTTTTAAGAAGCTTTAATGTCTGTGTTTAATCCAGAACTGCCTTTCTTCCAATTTTCCATCCCACCTTAAATGCTGCAACAGTGCTTAAACGCACCAGAATGTAACTCCTGCACTGTTTAAGGTGGAACGGAAAACTTGAATAAGAAGCTCATTCATTGTCATTAGAAAGTGTTCATGGGTTAGCTTAGTGCTAACAAACTACTAGAATCCCTATAAAGACGCTAGCAAAAGTTAGCATTATCCCTGAGGTGGGTTTTGTCCTTAAGTTTTGGCCCAATTTTCTCATCTATGGCCCAAATTGAAAGCCTAGCTCTAACAATCACGGGTCACACGGGTTACTTTAAAAATACACTTCTCACCACAAAATGGTACGCAACGCTAAATGTACCTTAATCTGAAGTGCTAAATGAATAAAGCTGTTTACAGACTTGTTTCTTTCCTGTGAATGTGAATGTAAGTGGTATAGGCAGCTTTCTAATATCGTATTTTGGGGTGCATCTGAAAATCAAGGCACACTGTAACTGAATGATCTAACTTAAGTCAAGAGAGAGATAATATCTGTGTTAGTTCACCGCTTCCAGTCGTCTCCTCTCCTCCTCTGCCCTCCTGGCCAAGAGAAGATTATCCTGCGGCAAAGACAAAGGAAAATGTTCACTCTGAAATCAGTCAAGGCCAACTAGAACTGTATCATCAGTCAGTTAATGACTCTACTGAAGTAGTCATTGTAATTAGATGACTGGTTAAGGACAGTGAGCTACTAATAGCTTTGATGATTTTGCCATCAGGGATTAGAGACAGTCAACATGGAACAGAGTAAAAAACTGAAAAAGAAAGATATATTTTCACAGATCTTATTCAAAAACAGAAACAAAATCCCTTTCAGCTTCCAGAGTGACCACTGTATTTTAAAATGACTTCTTACATCTGGTTAACCACAAATTATACAACAGTTAGTTCGGCCACGCAAGCTGATTGGTTGAGAGGCATTCTAACTGTTATTTCACCATAACATCACGTTTTTTCACGAAAACTGTATCACTCCGCTGAGATGCCGTTGCTAAGCAACGACTCTGACAGCTGTAGGAGACGCTTAATCCATTTGAACGTTTTGACTTCTTACTTTGCCACAAACAGAAAATGGACACTTCTAAGATCACATTTGACCGACAGCCGATTTGGTCAGACTCTGAAGATGAGACTACACTAAATTCCCAAACTGTCATCACCACTGAGCAGCTTTTCAGTCGGCAGCTGTGACAGAAGAACCTAAACAACCTGGAATCAGCCAGAAATGAACCGAACACCTTTCGCCAAACAAAATGGGCTGTAAGATGCTTTACAGACTGGCTGGAACAAAACAGCATTAATATTAATCCAGCAAAAATTGACAAAACTGAGCTAAACTTGATATTGTGGCAGTTTTATGGCTCAGTCTGATTGGGTCAGACTCTGAAGATCAGACTACACGTTTGGCGAATGGTATTCTGTTAATTTCTGTCTGATTCCAGGTTGTTCAGCTGTTCTTCTGTCACAGCTGCCGACTGAAAAGCTCCTCAGTGGTGATGACAGTTTGGGAATTTAGTGTAAGGAGCCGGAGAACGAACTGCCGGCTGTGCAGCGAGTGAGCGGAGCTCGTTACTCTGACGTAGCGACAAGCTGCTTATTAAGGAACTATAATTTGGCAGAAGGGACTGCGAACATTAAAACATATTAAAAGCTGCGTTCACGACCCAGTTTATTTATTTCTTACTTTATTTATTTAACTGTTGTATTAAAGCAATAGAACACTCGAGGAGTGTGTTATCGCTATAACATCATGGCTGTGATGATCTACGGCGACAGCCGTGATGGTATTTCGGGATAACACACACCCTCTCATGTTCTGTTGCTTAAATAACATAACTTCCTTCCACTTTTACTAAGCAAATGCGACAGTGACTTAGTGATGTAGTGCTATTTTTATATTAATACATCTATGCGCAACACTGGATCATAAAAAAAGAAAAAAGGCTTCTGTTCTGAATCAACCCAAACGAAATATATTTCTAATGCCTTGTGGGAGCAAGAACAATATAATGATGTTGTTAATTAGTTCACCCCATTTTAAAATAGCTAAAGTCAGTAGCTTCACTCAGTTTCGCATATGTTTATAATTGCATTCTGAGAAAAACACCTTGGTTAATTTCGCTTTTCGTTTTCCACAAGAGTGAGAAAAGGTAACTAAACAACAATTAGACTGGCAGACAACATACCCTGATGTATCGTTTGCGGTTGACGATGAGCCACATCATTGAGCGCAACTTGATCAGGTTCACACGCATCTGAAAAAAACGCCGCCTAAAGACCAGTGAAGAGAAATTTTGAAGGTTATAGAAAGAACATAAGAAAGATGATCAGGGTTAATTTGGCACCTGTGGAGGCGAAGGTGAGTTTTTTAGCCACTGCCAATTCTACCCGTAAGTTAAGTCTCCTTAACTACCAAGCTGGGAGGCTGAAGGTTGGCAAAAGCCTCCTCTGAGACTCGTGAAGTGAGCCAACTACCGGTAACACAATGTCACTGGACAGTTCATCACACTTGGAAGAGAATGTTAACTGCCAATTCTGCCATCCAACCCACCCAAAGAGAGCGAGGCCTATTATGCTGTCTGACTCTCTCATACTCTCAATTATCAACTTTTACAGTTACGAACCTGTTACAGTTAAATAAACCTCTGTTTGAGCTCCAAAGCTGTATTAAATAAAGAGTCAATATACAAACTTCAGCATTTCCATGCATTTTTAGGAACTTTTAACCATCACAACACTTACATTTAGCTATACTTGAAACATAAAGCTCTAGTTTGTGAGCTAGTCATCACGTGAATTCACTACATGGTAGGTATTTTTGATGCTAAGGCCACAGTTTTGGGTATATTGAAGGCATGTTTCAGAAATCTCCCTGTAATCCATAATAAAATTGTTCCATAAATGTTCATAATATCCAAATATCCAGAAAGTACTGAAGAATAAAAGGCCTGTATTTCAAAATGTACTGTTTACTGTCCATTTTGAATTAGTAATTTTATGACGTCATTATATATCTGCCTTTTCAACCTGTAACAGTTTAGCTCCGCCCATTTAGATCAAAGTTATAAAGAAGTGTTTCAGCCTGGGCTGCTTTTTGAATGAGCGTAGCCAATCTGAACAGAGCTTATTTGCATATATCTTATATATGTTTTAAAAGCACAGTAACAAAATCAGGCTGTTTAATTCTAAGGGTTAAAGAAATGTTGGAAAATGGTCATTTTAAAATTAATTATGACTGTTTCTGGTATACAAAACCACACAAATGTCATAAAAAATAAAATACAAGAAAAAAAAATGTAGCCTATGGGCATTTTAAACTGCAAAATCGTTTTGCCCAACTGAAAATGTGACGGTGTATGTTGTTGCTCATGGGAGTTGTAGTTTACCTCAAGAGGAAGCCTCGGCAGTGGGCCTGAAGTTTGGCCATATCCATGCGGAACTTGAGGAACTGCTTACGGACGAAGTACATACGAACGTATCGCTGTAACGTCAGTGCAGCCAAGTGCCTCACACGATCACGCTTGCTCTCCAACAGCTGATACACGTCCTCCTTTAAAAACAGCTGAGAATGCAACATCAACATCCAACCAGTTACTAACAGTCAGTGTTCATGGCCATTTTCACACACGTCTCCATCTTAAAGACACTTTTAATGCTCATGTTTGGGCTTTGCATCATTCATATATGCAACCCTTAAACCACATGTGTCAGGCTTGAGTCCTGGCAGGCCAAAACACTGCAGAAGCTTTGTGCCTCATTAAACACACCTGATTCAGCTCATCAGCTAATTAGCAAGGCCTTCTTGAAACTGAATTCAGAGCGTTAAATGAGGGCCTTTAATGGTATTTTCCTTGGATGCAGTTTGCATGCTCCTATGACTTTCTGGGTCATATCATACAAAGGGAAGGGACATTTTTAGCAAAAAAATCTGTCATTAAAACTGAAAATGCAACTGATTAAAGCACAGATGTTCTGCTTTGCTGGCCATGCTGTGTTACTGTTTCGCAGTAGCACCATTGCGGGGACGTGTAAAGGTCTAGTCTTATTCATGACGCTCCAAATTAGACATTTCTAAATTGTTTTTATCACTATTCATTAAGCTTTATTCATTACGTCATGAATTAGTATGTCATTATACCCAGATCAGACATAACATTATGACCACCTCCTTGTTTCTACGCTCATTGTCCATTTTATCAGCTCCACTTACTATATAGGTGCACTTTGTAGTTCTACAGTTACAGACTGTAGTCCATCTGTTTCTCTGCATACTTTGTTAGCCCCCTTTTACACTGTTCTTCAGTGGTCAGGACCCCCATGGACCCTCACAGAGCAGGTACTATTTGGGTGGTGGATCATTCTCAGCACTGCAGTAACACTGACGTGGTGGTGGTGGTGTGTTAGTGTGTGTTGCGCTGGTCTGAGTGGATCAGGGAGCATGGAGCTAACAAAGTGTGCAGAGAAACAGATGGACTACAGTCTGTAACTGTAGAACTACAAAGTGCACCTATATAGTAAGTGGAGCTGATAAAATGGACAATGAGCATAGAAACAAGGATGTAATGTTATGCCTGATCGGTGTAGTCTGTGACTTGAAAATCACAAATAATTGCAATCATAAATCACAAGTAGTTTTAATAATGCACAAAAACACTGTTAAGACCATCCTATACAAATTATTGAGAAGGTAATTAACTACCTTGAGATTTTATCACTGTATAATTGGCAACATTACATTTCTAAAGGTTCTAGGTAGCATCAAGTGACTAATTTAACTAGCGTAATTAGTCTAAAAGTGCTAAACAAGCTTTCAATAACACAAGAGCTTAATTTATCCACGCTGTTGTTAAAATAGGTTGAAACTAACTTAAATATTCTAAGCTTTCACGTTCTTATCTACCAAATGAAATTTAAATGATCTTTACTTCAGAATATAGGAAACTGACAAACTGACGTATTGAATACTTGTTTGGCATTTTTTAGCCTCTGATTAATTATGACTAAAACTGTACTTCAGAATATGGAACCTATCTTGAAGTATTAGTCAGTGTATCAAAGCAATAAACTCCAGGAGTCACCTGATGTTACGTGAATTTACAGGTGATTAATTCATGCTTGCTAACTTGCATAACAAGGTATTAATAAAGTATTTTTTAATAATGAATAATGTAATTATTGGGGATTTACACTTGATTATGTGCTAAGATGGTTCATAATGCATGAAGCTTAATGCACATTGAACGAACCATTGTGAAGTGTCCAATTTAGGCTTTTGTGAACAAATAATGTGTCACTGTATTTCTCCATGATATAATGGCTTCTGTTCACATGAGCCCTCGCAGTATTGACTCTAGTATTGTACTAGACCTTGTGCAGGTACACCGGCACGTCAACTTTACTGGTATTTGTGATTAAACTTAACAGCCTCCCATTTAATTACTTTTAAATTCCCAGGTAAAAGTGCATATGTGAAAGGAGCTACACAGTGGTCCCCCAAAAGTATTTGGACACTTTAATCATTAACCATTGGTAAACATTAATGAGGATTTTTCCAGGTTACTTCAATGATATTTGTTTCAGAGAAAAACACGTCAAACTGATGGTGTGGAGAAAGAACACTGCAAAGCACTGAGGTGGAAATGTCAAAGTCTGGTCTGTTTTCCTTACAGTGGTGTATAAAGACCAAAATCTGAAACACAGCCGCCATACTTTTGGAAGATTTCATTGCCAAGAAGAAAATTACAGTCTTGGAATGCTCTGTTTAAGATAACTTAAACGCCATCATTTCACGCATCACGTATGTCACAAATGTCCAAATACTTTTGGAGCCACTGTACCAACTCAGATAACACTCACCTTGGACACGCCCACTTGATAATCCCCCTTATTGATTGGACAGAGCTTCGTCAACATAAGGACACAGTTATCTCCGTCTGGAGGCGGCGCTTTCTTCAGCCCTAGCAGTGCTTTATACCTATGAGTCAGTCATAAAAAGCCTTTAGAGCAGCAATTCTACACAATCCAACAGCGTGACGCCATGTAAAGGCAACACGCTGTGACTGAAATAGCTCTGCTGTGGGTTTACCTGTCTAAGAACTTATGGAAAGGCACTCTGACTGGATATCCTTCCTTTCGAATGTGGATGGCGTCCATGATTCCAGAATATCTGAGCTGGTTCGCCACCAAGTCAGGCTCAAATAGACCTGGTTCCTGAAATAAGATTACAGTGCAAAACTTGCATTCAGTCCCGACTGTTTCTTCCAACACACTCGGCTTTAAGGACAGGATTCAAACAACTGAGTAATAAACTGAGTAAACGGCATGTACCTTATTATTATTTGGCTTTATGCAGCGAACAAAAAACGGGTTACACCTAGAAGAGAAGAGATAAGGAACGTTACAAGCAATATACTCTTAATTTTCAGGCCGAATAACAGCAAAATAATGCTTAATCTTTAATTTAAAATAATAATTTGGCCATTTTGTCTTTACCCCATTTGTAATAAATTAGCGAAGACATGTTTGGTACCTTTGTTTCTTTAGTTTAGCACTGGAGCCATGAAGCAAAAGAAGAATCTTCTACCCTACCAAGTATCACTGTTCCTGCCTAAATCATCACACCTACACTGAGTTGTTAAGTACAGACAAAATTCAGGGTTCAAGCCAACTAGACAACTGGTACTACTGTTTTTACCAATGTAAGTACTTTCATCCTTTTAATATAAAATGACATACAGTGTCAGACACCACAGAAACAAGTATACCTGAGATTGCTGAACAACTCAGTGTTATGCGTTTGTGTGGTCTCGCTAGGGCAGATGTGATGTCATAACGAAAATACACATCTAGGGACACTTGTACAACTTTTAGACCTGGACTGCGGCACTAGCTAAGGACACGGCGTCTCTAAAGCCTGCCCCCAAATTTTGAGATCTGGAGTACGATCGATAACACAAGCAAAACAAACTAGTTAGTATTGTTAATCGCCAATGGTTTCCATCTAGTCAATCAAGTTGAACGATTTAACTGTCCAAAAACACGTCAAGTTGTTGTGTTTGTTAAAACGATAAAGCCGTGCTGCAGCCCTCAACTCAACCAAACACCTTCACTCACAAAACATGAATGTCTTAAAATCCAGCACCCAATCACCTCAAATCCTTTATATTAATATCACTTACCATTGCCAAAAATAGTTATACTGCTGAACTGGATGGACTAATGGAATAAAGCATTGGCTTAACCTCCTCATGGATCACTCCAACTCAGAAAGACTCACAGCAAATTTAAAAAAAACAAACAAAACCATTCATGGAAACAAAGGTCACAATTTTTACAATATATTGAGAGCTGATTTGGGAGAGGGTGGTGTTTGGAGGGGAGTTGGGTGGTTGTGGTACCATATCACCTTATATTTGTATGATCATCAATAAACAATGAGTTGTGACATTAATAGTGAAATGAAAAAGAAAAAATTTTAGGTCTCCTGAAAAAGGGGGGGTAGTGGTGTGGTTAAGTTTTAGCCATTTTATTATTTCAACATGAGTCTGAAAACCCACAGTTTATTAAATTTATAGCGAAAACTACCAAACCATATCAAGAACAAAGTTGGCTTCTGATAGGGGACACGTTTCTGAGCATGTTTATTTTATCCAGATTAAGAACGAACGGCAGGGAGCGTGATTTAGGACATTATCTACAGTACTGAAACAGGTTACTTGAGAAAGCTGCCGCGGATGTGGATTAAGAGGATCTTAACCAGCCTCAGACAGTGTGCTGGTGTTGTAGAATAGTGCCCCCCTCCCCCAATGATAGCTTCCTCAATTGGCGATATACCACAAGTCTACAAGCTATCATGAAACACTGTTTCCTGCCTTCATGCCTTCTGTTAGGAAAGTTTTACATTAATATTATTCTATTACTTGTTAGCTACATTAGCCTCGCAGCTTTAGTGCAAAACTAAAGAAGCAAACATCAAACAACAAATAAATCTCAGCTGATCGACGGGGTAAGATGGAATTTTTGCTGAACTGCTGCTTTAAAGTCAAAATCAGAGATTTTCTATGGACTGTCTATGTCCACGCACATCATCTCAGATGTCTCACGTTGCTAGTGATGTGAAATAGGCTTGTGCTTGCTTGATTGCTTGACGAAGCTCTATCCAATCAAAAATTGATTATCAGATTATCAAGTGGGTGTGTCCAAGGTGAGTGTTATAGGAGTTGGTACAGTGGCCCCAAAAAGTATTTGAACATTTGTGATGTACGTAAAATCATTTCTGACTGCATTTGCTTCCAATAATTTGATGCTATCAAAATGTTTTTTAACGAGTAACAATAACCATTGATAATATTGCTAAAAGTAACACTTAATTCATTAAGTACTATTACAGAAAAAAGTAGGACTATACATAAATTTCATTTTGTGTGATACGTGTGTCAGTATTTGTGTATGCATCTGTGTGTGTGTGACCTTTCCATCTTGTCCAGGAGCTCCTGTAGAGAGTGCTGGAACTTGGCAGCAACGGTGGAGGGCTGATATCGCCGGGTCACTGTGCTGTCCCTCCTCATTCCCCCTTTCTGCTGGTTCAGCATCTCAGCATGCTTTATGAAGAGATTGGAGATCATCTGGACACAAACACACAGTTGAACCAAAGCCTTAAATAAATGCAAATACTGTTATGTGCAAAAGTCAGAGACCACCCTTCATTTACTTAATTTCCAATTAAAATGGGAATTTGTTCAGGAGATATTTCTGAGATTAGATATAAGATAACCTACTTGCAGAATAACGAAAAAACAGGAGTATGTAAAACTGTAGAATTGAAAAACTTATCAGCCACCTGGAAGACCTGGTAAACACCAAAACTGCCCCCATCAGATAAACAGCGCTTAAAGCTTTCATCTGTGAGAGAGAGGAGAAAATCAAGCTGCTGCAGATCTGAAAACATCCACAGGTGTTTCTGTCCATCCTTCCACTGTGAGAAGACGACTCAGCGCTGTGGGTCTGAAAGGATGTGTAGCGGTCAAGAAGAACCTCACTGAGAAAAGGAGACGGACACATCAAACAAAGCAGCTGAACAATGGACTGACCACCCCAGAGTCCAGACCCCAACATCACTGAATGTGTTTGGGATTATTTGGATCACAAGAAGCAGAAAAAGCAAGCAACTTCTAAGACTGAACTTTGGAGGTGTGAAAAAGTATCCCTGCAGATTTCTTTTAAAAAATTAATGTCCTGAATGAATGGAAGCTGTTATAAAGGCAAAGAGTGAACATATTATACTGGGAAATGTGATGTTACATTTAGTTGTTAAGGCTTCTGTGTAATTTTCGGTTAAATATATGTTATATGCCTTTTTCTATAGTTGTAAAATTAATATATTTCACTTGATGGCTGTTTTACCTGGAAATGAAACAAATGAAAGGTGGTCTCTGACTTGCACAGCAATGTGAATACCTTCTGTATGTTCTGCACACATACTGACGAACACTCACCCTGTTGTGGCTCTGAACGAACAGGTCCAGGACCTCTTGCCGAACCTGATCATAATTCTTATCCAGAAACTTGTGGACCTAAGAAACAACAGCTCATTCATTCAGGCCCCCTAAACAGTACATATCAACTCTAATTAACTAACTAACTAACTATTCACACAAACAAGTACCACTGATTTAGTTGGTGCACAACCTTTTAATAAATTCATAAGAGTAGCACAAGCAAAATGTATTTTATAAATAATTAATTCCTCCATGTAAATGGATATAATACTCTTCTCATCGAGCATCTGGCTTCACTGTACATCTTTGGCCCAACCCCATTTCTTATGTTTACCCCTACACCTTGTTTCGAGTGTCTCCTTGCCCCTTGGAACTGAGTCACAAAAAGTAGTGGTTGAAATCCTCCCTATGAAATGGGACCCTCAAATAAAAAGAGCATTACTTCATTAACAGCTACTAGTGCTGCTCTGTAGGCGACCCTGCCAGTCTGCAGTGACAGCAGAGGAAGTTCAGCAACCTCACTGCTGGGCTTTAGTTACATTTAGGGCATCACATGATTTCAAAGAGGAGGGGGGGCAATTATTTATTATCGCCCACTGCTAATTCTTCAGAGAAAGCTGAATGTAACTGGTGCACCATTTAAGATGGAAAGGGAAATTTAGCTAGCTAGCAACCGAGATATCAGCTACTACTAGATACTACTAGATTTTTTATGCTTGTTAAGAAGAAAACTTCCATAATACATTGAAACGACATTAAACTAAGATAATACAGCGATTATTGTAATTTTTAAAAATTTACACATTCGCAAGTTTCTTTGGTCGCTTGTTCAGCCATCTTGGTGGTTTTTATTTATTTTTCTCATAACACTCTGTTTGGAGGGTCATGTAGCCCTAACACTTCGCCCTCCCACTCTATCCCAGCAAGAATCGGGACACCCTACCCCCTAGACGTGAACACACAAAACGGAAGGCTAAGGGCTAAGTGTTAGAAGAGAGGGGTGAAAAGGGATTGGGCCTTTGAGTCCAGACTACTTACACCTTAGCTATAATGAAGAGTTACAAGCCAACATGAATCAGAAACTGGTATTAGGGAGGATGTCTTCACCAGCTGAGTGTTTTCACAGGACGATAGGTGGGGCGGTGGGAGGTGGAGATAAAAGGTGGCATTTTTGGTTAATATTATTTTTCCCCGCCCACTGCTGCACAGTCACGTAGCCAAATCTAAGATGTTGTAGAGTTCCTTACATTTAATGGAATATTATATGAAACGAAGAATTTTGTCTTTAAAATGATATGACGAATCGTGCTAAATATGATCAGGTACATGAACTACGAAGGTAAAAAAATTCACATTGCCTTTAAGAATGGTCTTTTGTGTTTTTAAGGTCTTTTTAGGTGCCTTTTCATGTGAAATTTGCTGATTGTCAGTGATTAAAAACATAAATATGTGAGTTCATAATGATTTATTTCCATACATTCCTTACACACTGAAAATGTAAGACAACTTGCTGCATAGCAAACTACTATATCGCTGTTGTCAGAAGAAAACCTCATATCTCCAAAATGGTAACTTTACAGGAGAAGGAAAAAACATACCTTACTTTTAATGTAAGTCAATGGAACCAGACTTTTTTCCAAGTTATTTTGGGCCCTTTTTTTGGTCCATTCATCATGAAATTTGCACACAATGTAAAGGACAACAGACATTTTCAAATCATGTCAAAAACTGAAAAACGACGAAACTGGAGATACAAGGTTTACTTCTGACAGCAGTGATATGCATGTTGTACCTAAGAGTGCGGCAGTATGTGGTGTTGTGTTATTGTCTGTACCTGGTAAGTCACTCGGCCTGCGTAGTGCTTCACAGTGAACTCTGGCAGTGGCATTTTTGGCCTGGAGTAGAGGGGATTGTTGCCATGGTGATAGTGGCACTTCTGAAGGAAGGTGTGGTCAGTGGCCTGGCAGAAATAAGACATACAAAAGTCAAAATGATACCAGTCAGAAGTTTGGGGGCACCAATATATACACTTTTACCTACAGACATTCTGTGATATTGAGGGGGACAATCATAGGTTTGGTTTCTCCAGTCTTTGCTGTTTTTTTAAGCAAAAATAAGTCAATGTATCCTCTACAGAGAACAAATGTCTTTTTAATGCACAATTACTGTTTATTTGTTGAATTTAACATATTGAAAAAAGATTCTGATGTGTAACACTCAGCAAATAAACAGAAATGATGCAGTATTTGAAATAGAAGAAAAAATTAAATAACTTTAAATGACTTAAGTGACTTGTCTTCTCAGTATTTTGACTTAAGTACTTAAAGGACTCTTTTTCCTGTGATTTTGACTTTTTTGGTTTAATTTTTTAAAAAAAGAGTTACTACTCTTTGACGAGTATACATATTTTATGATGTTTATGACGTTCTCCTAACATTAAGGCAATATTTTGAGAAAACGATTATTTTGATTATTTATTAAAAAAACAATAAATTATTATTATATGATTATTTTGAGTTCTGTCATTCAAAAATGTGAGAAGTCAACTCTAAGCCAAAATATGACATGCATATCATGTCTGCTTTTTCACCTGGTGGATACAAACATCCATTTTATTTGACAAGTGTCTCTGAGTAAGTCTTATTTCCTTGTTTCTCTCTAGGCTCCTCCCTTTATCATGATGTTCACCTTTGTTTTGTTCGTAATGCTGCCCTGTAATGAGTTTTCTCAGCTCTTTAGTCTATGTGTTTTGCTTTGCTTCGTGTTTTGCTGTGTTAGTTCAGTTCTATGTTTTCCAGGTTTGTGTCTTTCTTTCTTTATTGTCTCATGGACGTGTTAACTTTTATTTATTTATTTATTTATTTATTTATTTTCATTTCGTTTCATTTTATTTTACTTCATTTCATTTTATTTCATTTAATACAACTGACTTGCACATTTATCCTCATCAGCTCCTTTTTTACACCAGCTGAAGCAGTTTTTGCTGCTATACAGTTGCATGCTAAAGTTAGAACACCCCCAGTGAAATGAGTGAAAATAAGTAAAATGATCAATTTTAATATGGCATTTTTTGCACATTTTAGTGCACAGTTTCTATTTAAACATACTTTACCGCAATTTTTGCACAGGTCACATTTTACTTTATTCCCAAATTATTTTTTTTAATGTAGCAAATAAACAGTCATTGTCTTTTCACTTATAAAATTAGCAAAACATGGATTTTGACCAATCTTTTTTTTTCATATGACTGATATGCTATTTGTTTTTTTAGATTAACTGTTTAAATATTTACTGATTCATTTTATTTTTCTCAAAACAAATCTTATCGTTCTTTAATATGTTAAACTGCTGCAAACTGACAAAGAAAACATGCTTATTCATTTTTTTTTTTTTTTTTAAAAAGTAGGTGTCCATAAACATTCAATAGACAGTGTACATCAACCACAGACATGCGACTGGAGTGAGATTCCCTCTTTAAATGCAAGTGACAAACATTTTATGTATACTTAAATACACCTAAATACACATCCAGGCCTACAGATGATTTAGTTTAGTGGTAAAGAGGGTAAAGATATTACCTGAGGAAAGCTACTTTGGTCGTCGAGAATGCGGAATATCCCATGAGGCTTCGCAGCAATGAGGTCTATACACGCCTGGTTGTCAGTGAAAGACAATTCCCTCCATCCGATCTGCTCTCGTACATACTCCTCCTACACAGGCAGAGCGTATACGAGCGTAAAGTGAGTGAATGTGAGGGAGGACATTTAAGAGACACCTTCATTTCCAACTGGGTCAACTCTTTAATACGACTGGGACGAGTTGTCAAGGTTTAAATAATAAAAAAGGGTACTTGTTTGTCTGATTTCCACACACAATACTTTTAAAATGTTTTCCTGTCCTTACAAAGTGACTAAGAACTCACTTATAACATAAGCCAATGAGCAGTTGCTGAATTCCATGAAAAACACATTTTTGTCAGTTCTGCAGAAAAGCCATTTGCTAATTAAGGCTTAAATTTCTATAATTTGTTCTTTTAGAGGGAAATCTTGTGGCCATTTGTTTCCAACATAGTCTTCAGAGGCTCCGGCCTGATCGCCACAGATACTTAGCCCCTTTCCACAGTGGCCATAAAATGCCATTGCTGCCTGTTTGAGGTCCCTCAGCTAAAATATACATATTTGTTCTTCAGTAATGCTGGTGGAATATAGTTTGACGGAAATGTTTATGATTCACAAAACCATAAGTGTACTGGGTTTGTACATTTATAGGTGAATAAGGAGTTACAACATTTACAGAAGTGGCTTTATCATGTTTAAATGCCATTTTGTACTCCTCTCCTTTCACCCCCATTGCTCGCTAGCAGCTCAATACAGAGTCAAAATACATTACACACACAAGCTCAGCAGTGTCCTGTTTAATCTGATCAGAGGGGAACCCTTTGGGCCTTGTAGGTCTTTAGAGAAGGCTTTAAACTCTGCAACTATTACAGTACTACGTTTATTTCATTGAGCAGTTTTTTAAATGGAAACAAAAGGGTTACATTCTTCAAATGCAGAGCAGAAAACTGACCAATCAGAAATAGTTTATCTCAATGGTGTCTAGATAAATATAGCTAAGCGAGCTCTCCTACTGGTCAGGGCTTCAGGAGCTGAAGAGAAGTCCTAACATGTTAGATTAACGATCAGCAAAATCACGAACTGACAGAGGAATCAACCAACCACGTTTTTCTTTCCAATAGCCGGGATCAAAAAAGGTCACTCTAGGCCTTCTGGAAGTTCTAGATACGCCACTTTATGACAATATGAGCACCAGCCTAATCAGTGGGTTCTTAGAAACGGAAAAGAACAGTGAAAAAGTCACTATGAAACCGCTACAAGGTATATGCTAATATTTCTACTGCAAACTTCAATTAAACCAAGAAATGTTTTTTAGGAGCTTCAAACATCTCACAGACAAAACGTCCATGTGTATCGCTGTTAGCTTAGTGTTAACAAAGTTCTAGGATCCCACAGGGATGCTAGCAAAATTTAGCATTATCAGAGAGGTGGGTTTCTACTGAACTTTTGACATTTATGGCTCAAATTGAAGGCCTAGAGCTAATAGTCACATTAATGTAGAAAATATTTCAGCTTGCAGAATGGCCACTAGAGGGCCTGCAGAAAGAAGTTAAAAGCAAAAGTGACCAAAACTGACTTTTTCCTCGGTTGTTTCAATGTATGACCATTGGATAAAACTTAATGAACAAGGCTTTGCTAAGATATTCTCTCATGTCTGCTAAGGTATTCTCTCATGTATGTAGTGTTAACCCCTTAAAAGGCCTTGGCAGGCCAAAGTTTTATCACACACTTCTATAGCCTAAGAACAGCTCAACCAGTTTGCATTGAAGTCCCTGTAGTTACTGAATAATAAGCCTTAGTATGTAAACAGCCTGGATTTTAAGGGGTTTAACAACTGAAATGGTTAGGATTTTATGTCATATAGTCACATAATTCAAACGTTTGAGTAGCTTGCCCTTGGCTTGTTTTATAAGTGAGTTTTAAGTTTTTGTGAGAATTGAAATTACCGCCTGACCATGCAACACACATGCAACATTAGGTTGAAAAACACTGGAACACTCTTTTAGGTAGCATCGTAAAAGGTGTTAGACGTGACCAGGCAGTTTAAGGCATTAACGTTTACATTAAACTGCTGTGAGAGTAGGTGGCCCTCACCTGTTCCTGCTTTAGGATGATTTTTGTGAAGAAGTATTGGAGCGTCTCGTTGGCGTAGTTGATGCAAAGCTGCTCAAAGCTGTTAAATGTTAACTCCTGAAAAATACAAACACAGAGTCGCTCGTAAAAAGAGCTGAATGCGAGCTGAGTTTAGGCTCCCCTGGTCAAATGACACATTTTGTGAAATTAAGTTAATACGTCCTCTACCTAACACACTCCTGCATATTTTAATGCACAGTAACAATTTATTTGCTGCATTTACCATATTAGTGGGAAAAAAAACCATAAAATGTGGTCTGTGCAAAGTTATGGCACTTTTTATATTTTAATTTTATATATCGCTGCTGTCAGAACAAAACCTTGTGTCTCCAAAACGGTAACTTTACAGGACAAGGAAAAAACACACTTTACTCTTGATGTAAGTCAATGGAACCAGGATTTTTTCCAAGTCATTTTGGGCCGTTTATTTTGGTCCATTCATCATGAAATTTACACACAATGTAAAGAACATTTTCAAATTATGTCAAAACTGAAAAACTTTTCAGTTTTCTTCCAACAGCAACGATATGTTAATAAGAAATTGTGCAATACGATTTGCAGAAAAATTCAATAACTGTGTTCTCTGTAGAGGATGTGTTAACCTATTTTCACTTAGACCATTTGATGTATCCAAATGTTTGAGTATGACTGTATATCTCTGTAAGACAGTGTGTATTTGCATGTGAATGAATGCGCTCATGTACCTCAAACCCATATATATCCAATATGGATATGGATAGCGCCTCATTCCTGGGGTAAACACGACCATTGATCCGCTCCGTTAGCCAACAAAAGAGCAAGGAATAGAGGATCTTGGCAACAGCATCTCTATGGCAGGAGACAACAAAAAAGGGTCAATAAAAAGCCATTAACTACTACGGCTACTCATTATTAATGCATTAGGTCAAATCATTATTGGTGGTAGTGCCTCATGGATGTGTATCTTTGTGTGGCTGTATTTTGGCTTGAGTGTTTATTGGAACCCTCTACCTCATAGCTCCACCTTCCTGGTCTACACTTAGGGACTGTAGCCCCTCTTTTTCCATTCAAAACTTGTTTAAGCCATCCTCTAGCCCGTTCATTGGTCTTCAGTTTTTGTCCACACAGCCGCTGATGTTTGGTTATTTTTGTGTGTTTTTTCACTGATGTGCGTAAAACAACAGCTGATGGATGGTATGAATGGGTTGGCAGGGCTAAGCCCTCCACTTCCACCCATTCAAAAGGCGTCGTAATAAGGTTTTATTTTTGGCATCCACATTGACTGACTTGCTGCTAAAAATGCCTGATTATTTTGGGCTTCTGTGGGATCGAGAACAATAGTGCTACCAATAAGTTGTGAGAAATACGCAATTTGGCTAAGATGGGTCTGATTTAGTACTGTGCAAATGTACTGTGTATTGCGCTGTAAAGCTGAGAAATTATATTTAAAAAGTTGGACTTTGTTAAAAAAACTCAAATATGATAATTAATACATATAATATCAATACAATAACGCCATTTAACGGATTAAATGTAGTGAACTGCACAATACATCCGTTATCCACTAGGGGTAATAAATCTGCAATGGCCAGTTTCGCCTTCCCACACCTTGAAGTCAGTACTTGTTGGGGTCAGGTTCTAAAATCTGATTGGCCGAGACATTAAGACATGCTCAAATCCATTATAAAACATTGCATGTAATTTTGTTTAAACTGAGAGTCAAAATGTGAGCACGGCAGAAACTTTTATTTATAAGAAGCAAGTATTTATCTGTATTCCACCACTGCAATAATGCTATTTTCTATTAGTACCTTTAGGGGATTTGCAGTATTATGTTAGCACCAAGCTAAAGGGTTGTGCTATAGCTGCTGTACACTGACACTTCAAACTTAATATATACTTTTTTCACTTTGTATTTGGCCGTTTTACATAGTTATTCAGCAATTATTTGAACTTATATCTTGTCACATTCTGTTTATGTTGTAGTTGATTAAAAGAGCAATTTCACATATGGAATTATTGTTATTGTCAGCTTTCTATAGGAATAGAAGGTAATTCCACGTCAACATTTAGACGCTTAGGTGAAACCATCAGCTTGCAAGTCGGCTCATTTCATTGCTTCATTGCCGTTAGATGGGAAAAATCTCTCAAATGTGAAGGTACAGTGCATGAGCTATAGACAGCTGTTATTTATTTTTTTTTACTTCCATCCAATATTATGCCTAGCCATCACCAGAAACTGACCAGTGACGAATGAAGTAGAAGGGAATGATTAACTGTAGCAACAGATGGGACAGTCTGTAATTGTACACCCATATGGTGAACCTACAAGGTAGGTGGAGCTTTTTAAATGGCCAGTGAGTGGTAGAAGTGGGTGGTGAATATATGCGCTAACCTGGCATCCACAGCACTCTCTACAGTCAAAGGAGTATATATTTTCTCTTTCATCGCCTCCTGCATATGAATATATCAAAACCAAATGATTAGCAGGCATTTAAAACAACCAATCAATTTCAGTGTCAGTAACACAAAGCAGAAAAAAATGAGCAAATCTTGGAAAATATTTTTCAAATTATGCTCCTAGAAATACAGTTAAAACTAGAACAAGAGGTTGGTAAGAATCAAGGGTAGCATTTTTTATTTACAGCTTAAGAAGGCAACCCAAACCCAGAAGTTAGGGATTGGCCTGGATTACATATCAGCCATGCGCACGCACACACAGAGCATGTGGAACTGATACAGGTTTAGGTGACAGTTGATTCAGACTGATAGAGGTGTAAACCCAAAACTTGTGGCCTCTGGATAGCCGAGCTTTATTTATTAAATGAGCAAGATGGTCAGCGTGACACATGCATGTGTGCATCTCACTGTTAGATATATAAAGATTACAAGTAACACCACATTTCACTGTGATTTACTGAATATTAAAGTCAGAGGGTGAACTGTAAGCCATAAAATCTAGCATGATCTATACAGTGTGGAAAAAGTATTTCTTCTATTTCTGTTTCTGTTTTCTTGCGTAAACAGAAAATACAGTTTTTAAATGATCATTTCATTTATTGAAGGAAAAAGGTGATCCTGGTTCTCTGTAAAAAAAATAACTGCCCCTTAGTTACTCAATGAACAAACTGACCAAATTTAGTTGATAACTAGGGTTATTGAAACTAGACACACCCAGGCGTGCTTACTGCTAGACTTGCTGAACCTTTTCAGCAAAGAGGCTAAAAGGTCTCCACAAGCAGCACACTATGCATTCATTAAAAGAAATTCTGAAGAAGTGTTATTGAAATATGACTGCCTGGAAAAGGCTACCAAACCATTTCTGGTACTCTGGGACTCCAGTGAACCACAGTGAAAGCCATTATCTACAAATGGAGAAAACGTAGAACAGTGGGGAATCTTCCCAGAAGTGGCCAGCCTACCAAAACTCCTCTAAGAGCACATCGATGACTCATCCACAATTCACAAAAGAACCCAGAGGAACATCTAACGAGCTGCAGGCCTCGCTCACCTCAGATAAAGACAGCGTTCATGTCCCCACCATTAGAAAGAGACTGGGCAAAAACTGTTTGCATGCGAGAGCTGCAAAAGGAAAACCACTGCTAACCAAGAGTTTGGTCTCATATTTGCCAAAAGACACCATGATAATCCTCAAGTCTTCTGGAATAATGCTCTGTGGACTGATGATACAGCATTCCACAAAAAGAACATCATACCAACAGTGAAACATGGTGGTGGTAGTGTGATGGTAGGAGGATGCTTTGCAGCTTTAGCGCCTGAGCAACTCGGGTAATTGAAAGAACCATAAATTCTGCTTTCTACCAGGAAATCCTGCAGGAGAATGTCTGGTCATCAGTATGTGATCTGAGGCTCAAGCGAAATTGGGCTGTGCAGCAAGAATACGATCAGAAGCACAAGAGCAAGTCCACCTCTGAATGGCTCATTACGAGTCTTTGACAGGACCTTAAAGGGGCAGTTAATGCTTGAAAGCCCCCAAATGTTGCTGAATTAAAGCAATTCTGCTAAGAAGAGATGGCCAACATTCTTCCACAGTGAGGCGAAAGACTGAGCTCCAGTTATAAGAAGAATTTGTTGCAGCTAAAAGGGGCACAACCAGTTATAAGGTGTAAGGGAGCATTTACTTTTTCACACGGGTGTTGTATTTGTTTCATACATTTGACTGGGCTGTACTGTAAGCATGCAATTTTTTATTTTATATTTTTAAATAAAACTGAGCTGTTCATGCTCCAGACACAAATGCATTCATTCACAGTTACCATTGGTGAGTTTAACAACAGCACACAATTCATACAACTTTGTCAAAATATGTGTTATTAATTTCAAATGATTTCTGTTTTATATGTTTGCTGTGTAATTAAGGTATTAAAGAATAACAGACCTAGCTTGGACAGCATTTCACAGACTGTGAAAATGCACTGACATTTCTGAACAAGTATTCAAATATACTGAAATTATTGTTGTGAATTCATGCTAAACCGATGTCTTATAATAGATTTTGCACTGAGCAACTTTCTTACTGTCCAATAAGAAAACTCCCATATGTGATTTCGGAGGTATCTCTGCTCTTTTAGCTTTGTGGAAAGTGCTGCAGTTTGCGCTCAAATAAAGTAGCTATAATTTATTTATTCTTTTACATTTTCCATGTAGGTTATAAGTAGTAACTGTTCAATCAGAAGGCCTATGCTGATGAAATGCATTTCCAATTTTTGTGGCTTAAACAAAGACAAAATTTGTGAAGAGAACCAAATACCAACGTAACAAATAAATACTTGAGTATTCAAATTATGGGGAACAACTATTCAATTGGTGGGCTAAACAGCAGAAAGGTCACCAGCTCCAGCTGCTTTAATGATGCTAGCTAAGTTAACATTGTAACCCACAAAACTAACTACTGTAGCTTGGCTTTAAGGTCCCATATTCTGTGTTTTTCTTGTATTATATTGTAAGTCCACGTATAGCGTTTGTAGGGTTTATGCACCAAAAAAACAGTCAGAAATTTTCTTTATCCCTTCAAATTAAACAGACTGTTCTGTTACTGCGTCTTCAAGACTGACGTAAATGACCTCTGTTCTGATTGGCTGCCGTTCAGGCTGAAACACTCCATATAACTTCCATGTGAATGGGAGGAGCTAAACTGCTGAAGGTGGAATAAGTAGATCTATGTAAATGAGCTGGTTTTCACCAAAACAGGCTTTCCAGCTATGGAACATTTTCAACCTACAACCATATTTTACTATAACAAGCCCATTCATTTAAAAAAGAAAGATTTTTTTTTCATAATATGGGTGAAATATAATATGAGGGATTTGGCAACAATATTTCCCCCATTGTACTTGCTATCAATACAGTCATTACAACAAAAAACAGAAGGCATGTGATTGTGTTGCCTCAAGCTATCTCAATAACAGTGACAGTGATGGAGAGACACGTAGAAAATAGATGTAATTTGAAACATACAGTGCACTAATTTTATCTGTTTTGACACAAACCAAGTTGTGCGATACAGTAACTCATTATTCTGAATGAGATATTTGTCAATATCCTTTCCGAACCCAGCAACAGCTGCTATGAAGGAACATATTTGTAGGCAGAGCCGGGATCAATTAAAGAACGGCCCAGTATATTATATCAAATCAAACACCATTTTTTGCCTGGAAATCATCTACACGTGTATTGACTGAAAGACCTACATATTAACCAAAACATAAATATATATTGCCTTGTAAATGAACACAAACTTCCATCGAGATTTAGATATTTCTACTTCTCTAGTGAAAAGGATACCAAGTGAATGTACTCACTTCTACAGTCATGAGTCATTGTCCTTCATTAGCTAAATGTTCCTCGAAAGATCTAATGAAGGGATCTTTTCACAGAGACATAATGGACCCGCTAAGCTTCTTATATGCGTAATAAGACTTTAATGAAGTTAGACTTTCTTAATCCTCGAACGTCTTGGTTTGATAAAACGATAAGAGTTCCTGAGTGCCAACATTACTCAGGCCTGTTAGCAAACCCTGATTGAGTTACAAAGGGTTCCACAACGCCAGGCCTGGGAGATTAAGCTTAGTTACTGGAATCCATCTAGATGAAAGCTGCAGAATCATTTATATATTTATAGCTTTCCAAATTCATCTAAGTATTAGTTTACTTAATCCGGTATTCAAAAAGGCATGAAGTTTGGAATTACAGTACTGTGCTAAAGTCTTAGGCACCTGAGAAATCTATCAGGGCAGTAAGTGGTTTTTACTCATAAGAGAAGACCAGGCAAGCCTAGTTTTACTGGACCATCAGCTGCATGGCATTTGTCATGCCAGTGTCGATGATACAGCATTTAGAACATGATACAGTACAATATTCAGTAATTGATCAGGTAAATCAAGTATAAAGCTAGGTCTAAATTATAAAACCAGACTGATACTGTCATAGACACATATGGCACTACAGCTTTGGAGTTAGCAGACGTAAACCTGCCAAAGCTCTTTACAAAGTGATAAATCACATAAATGCCTACAGTTTCTTATAATCATGTGTGGAGTCAAGCAAAATGAACATCTTCTCTTGAGAAAGTAAAAATGAAAGCAAAAACAACTCGCCCTGCTAGCATATATGCTAATAGCTTCCAAGCCAGCTAACATTACATTGGTGAATAAATGTAACTTGTCAAAGTTATAATTCTAAAAACAGCAAAAGATACATCATGATATTATTATTCCAGTTTACACTGTGGTGCATGTATTGGCCCTGTACCAGTAATTGGTGACTGTATCCTCACACAGTTACTGAAACAGTTAAAAACAGCTAAAAAAAGGCTGCTTATACAGCAAGATAAAAGAGAAACACAGTGCAAGCTAAAATAGAAGTACTTGCTGCTGTGGCATTTCACCCACTATTAAGTGATCATTAGGTGATCCATCAAGTATTTCAGTGAATGTGTTGGGAAGATATGAGGGCAGCATTGAATTGGGTGATATCTGCACAACAGATATCAGAATAAATACAAATAATATTTGTAATTAATTAATTAAACCCAAAAATAAATGTTTTTTCCAAACTTCTCCTCGAAGAAGCCCTGTATTATTTGTAGTTCTCATCCAATACCTGGTTTGTCTAATCAATGCTTTATTAAATTTTATACAACAGTTAGTTCCGGCTACTGAACTTACAAACACTGTATCACTCTGCTGAGACGCTGCTAAGCAACGACTTTGACAGCTGTAGGAGACGCTCAAGACATTTGGATGTTTTTACTTCTTACTTTGCCACAAACAGAAAATGGACACTTTTAAGATCACATTTGACCGACAGCCGATTTGGTCAGACTCTGAAGATGAGACGACACTAAATTCCCAAACTGTCATCACCACTGAGCAGCTTTTCAGTCGGCAGCTGTGACAGAAGATCACCTAAACAACCTGGAATCAGCCAGAAATGAACCCAATACCATTCGCCAAACAAAATGGGCTGTAAGATGCTTTACAGACTGGCTGGAACAAAACAACATTAATACTGATCTGGCAAAAATTGACAAAACTGAGCTAAACTTGATATTGTGGCAGTTTTATGGCTCAGTCCGATTTGGTCAGACCCTGAAGATCAGACTACACGTTTGGCGAATGGTATTGGGTTTATTTCTGGCTGATTCCAGGTTGTTTGTGTTCTTCTGTCACAGCTGCCAACTGAAAAGCTGCTCAGTGGTGATGACAGTTTGGGAATTTAGTGTAAGGAGCCGGAGAACGAACTGCCGGCTGTGCAGCGAGTGGGCGGAGCTCGTTACTCTGACGTAGCAACAAGCTGCTTGTTAAGGAACTATAATTTGGCGAAAGGAACTGCGAACATTAAAACATATTAAATGCTACGTTCACTGCCCAGTTTATTAATTTCTTACTTTATTTATTTAACTGTTGTATTAAAGCAGTAGAACAAGAGAGGAAGTGTGTTATCGCCTTCGGCTCGTGCCTGCGACCAAATCACAGCCGCAATGTTATTTCGTGATAACACACTCCCTCTCATGTTCTACTGCTGAAAAATCAGATGTGCTGGTTAAGCAATTTAACCAACCAACCAAAGTTGTATACTGTCTTGTAATTTTACATATGTTTTTGACCAAGCAGACAAAAGCGAAGGTATATATGGTAATATGGCAGCCAAAAAGTCACTAACTTGTGCAGTGATCATTTTGTAGGTCAGATGTCTAAAACAGGTTATTTTATACTATTCTTTTAAGGCATTTGATTAGACAAAAATGGTTAAAATATCCACAAATAGTACCTAAACCATACCGTGACTTTGAAGGTGATGGCTTTCTGCAGGCCCTCGGGAGAAATCTGTAGCAGTTCGGCCACAACACGGATCTCCTGAGCACTCACTACCCCCGCTGTCTCCTGCACCTCAGTCTGAGAAAGAGAGACAGACATTCAATACAGTTTCTGAACAGTTCGGCTGGATTTTTATTCAAACATACAAGCTTCATTTGTGAATTTCATTAAGCGTTCCGGGTATGTATGTGTAATACCTCGAGTCTATGGAAGAAGACGTTGCCCAGGTGCAGTATGGATGACAGTACTCTGAAGACACTGCTCTGGTCCTCCGGGCTGAAGCGCAGAATGTCCATGGCACTCTGTAACCGCCAGAAATCCTCTCCGTCATCCTTCCCCACAATCTGACAGTTTCCACCCTGATAGGGAGATGAAGTAAGGAGACATTAAATGCAATGAAAACAATGTTTCTGATTTAATTCTGCAAAATTTTAGGCACTTAATTAATCTATAGGATACACACTGGATCCATTAGCTCATTCTCAGAGATTCCTTCTCTACTGTAAATGAAATACTGTCTTTACTAGTATCAGCATTTTAATCACAATGATTATTTTCCATTGCAACATCAATTTGTTTCACGTATAAAATGAAAAAAGCTGAACATGTTGTTTGGGTATTTGTTCGGTATATGCACACAGAATTTTGATAATTCTTGTCACACTTTATTTTGAAAGTCCTCTATAGGTTATCTTCTGATGCTCAAATTATTAACATACTATATTTGGAAACTCATTAGTTGAAACCCCAACATTAGAGTTAAAGATAGGTGTGGGATTAGGTTTAGGATTTAAAGTTACATTTAGGGTTATATTAAATAGAATCTGTCACATTCAACTTAAAGGAATGGTTCAGTGAAGATGAGTTGATCAGCCAAGACATGTCTACGTTTTTCTTCTTTAGTGTAGCACTGGAGCTAATGTTGCTAACAAACACTAGAGGTCAACGGTCACCATGTAAATATGCCACCAAAACTTCAACCCACTCAAACAACTTGTCAGTGTGGTTTAGAGCACAGCACTGTAATGTGAACTATTAAATTTTACAAAGTTTCACTGTGTAGCTGAACACTAAGGGTAACCATGTTAGACAACAGAGGTTGTGTTGAATTCCGACTCTGCTCTAGAATCCAACATGTTACTACATACGTTTTTCATCAGATAGATATCAAAACTCTACTTGCATTTACATTTTAAATGATGACAAATCTGAGCAGATTGAGATCTCCCGAAAATAACAACATATGGCATGCATGGCTGTTCCATGTAAATAAATTATTAGCCTAGGGTTAGTGGGGTTAAAGTTTGCATTTAAAACATATTTAGTTAAATCTTGAGCAAAATACAAGAAGGTGAGCATCTACAGAACATCTATAGTGGACCTCTCAAAATAAAGTGTTGAGTTCTTTAGATATATATATGTTTAGTTTTAAACAATCTTGCAAAAACAGCTAATTCCAGCTTTGATTAACTATAAGCTGCAGAACAGAACTAGATGTGAGTGTAGCTTACTTGGTTCAGATAGTAATAGGTTTCAGCTTCCTGTAGGTAGAATGTTCGTCTCTGATGAACGGGGAGTCCAGCCAACATCTCATAGAAGATGTGGTAGTTCCTCTCATTTTTGGCCTACCCACACAAACACACACACACACACACACACACACACACACACACACACACACACCCAGCAACTGTTAGCCTCAGCCTTAGTTAAAATGGTGAGCGAATGTCTGAGACCACTACTGAAAATGCTTCTATTTTTCACTACAAATTACAGTACTGTGTATAAGACAGAGAGTAGCCTTTATTTAATTTTCAGTAAAAACAGACATCAAGTACACGTTATTCATTTTCAGGAGATGTTTCTGAGGAGATATAAGATAACCCATATGTTTAAAGAAGGTGGAGAGTCAAAGGAAACAAAAGAAAATCAAGCTCCAGTCTTGCTTCAGATCCACAAGTGTTTCTGTCCTTTCTTCTGGTCAAGCTGCTGGTGCTCCCAAAACAATAGACTAACCACTCCAGAGTCCAGACCTCAACATCTCTGAACGTGTTTGGGATCATTTGGTTTGGAGAAAATACAACCAACTTCTAAGATTGAACTTTGAAGGTGTGGAAAAGTTCCCTGCAGATTTATTTGTATCTTTGAAAAACTTAAATCAGAAAAGAATGCAAAATAGAAGCGCAGTGGTGTCACTAGTGGTGTCAAAATTTTGGTCCACTATGTGTCTGTTAGACAAGCAAACTAAACTACACACTGTTTGTCTACTGCCTAATGCAGTGCTCACCAACCCTGCTCCTAGAGATCTATCTTCCAGAAAAGAGCACTTCCAAACCTGACTGAACTCATCTGATCCAGATCTTGAGAATTGGGCTAAAGTATTGGACTAAAGTTGAATTCTGCAGGATTGTGTGGCTCTCCAGAACCAGGGATGGTGACCACTGGTCTAACGGTTACTTCTACATTCATTATCTGCCAGTATAATTCACAGTTCCAAGGATTAAAATAAAGTAGTGGTTACCACAACAGACCTGAAAAACTATCCTGGACTTCTCCAGTAGATACTGCGAGGTTATGGCACCGCTTATCACTCCCCTTTAACACAACAAGAACAAAAACAAACAACATGTGCAGTGTTCAGTAACATGTTAGAGCCCCAGCCACACAAATACACACAGTCTCTGTGTCTGTATTACTTAACTGACCTCACTACTCTACTTTCACACTGGGTCAGGAGGAAACACACAGATCCAGTTCCCCTCCACAAGTCTATCACTTCCATCTCTAATAGTCAGCATTGCAGTCTGTGAGCAAGTTTGTTCCAGCATTCAGCTTACACTGTAGAGGTGCTGGCCTCACAAATTAAATTTACAAATTTCCCCCTTACCCAAAATGGCCAGGCAATCTATAAAAAAATTTAATATACATATAGGAAGTTTGGTTTATATTATGTAATCGACTGACAGTAGTGCTAGAAAGTTGGAAAACCCTTTAAAATTCTCTGTATTTCTACAGAAGTCTGACTTAAATGTGATCATATCTTCATCTAAATCATATTAAGGCATGAGGTTGTAGCGGCTCCTAATGGTGTCCTGTGATATGCAGCTTGAATATTCTCACGCAGTTCCTGCAGATTTTGCGGTAGCGTGGAGTGTTGATTGCACGTCCAATAGCCTCCCACATATTTTCAATCGGAGATGGGTCTGGTGATGCGGCTGGCCATGGCATAGTATCTGTGTCTTCAAGGCAAGCTCATGAGACGGCAGCAGTATGCGGACGAGTGTTGTCCTGTTGGAATGACGCACCGGAGCGTGCATTAAGAAAAGGCAGGTCCACTGGTTGCAGGACCTCATTAACGCAATGTTGGGCTGTCAAAGTGCCTGTAATGAAGACCAAAGGTGATCTGGCATCGTACGAAATTGCACCCCCCACACCATGACGCCAAGCCTCCTGGACGTGTGACACACGGATTCATTGGTCGTCTCCACCAAGACAAAAGAGGGACTCGTCACTGAAGATGACCCGCAGCCATTCTGAGCCACTCCATGACAGTCTGACACAACACCATTGCAGTCTTTGGCATTCGTCATGCATGTAGTCCTGCATTGTGCAGCCGTCTGCCAATGGTGCTGGCACTAGATGGAGGACGACTCATGGAGAGCATCACCGCCCACTGAATGTCTGCAACCGTGGTTGTTGGGTCACTCTGTGCATGTCGGACAATCCGTTGGTTCTCCCTCTCCATGGTTGGTGTAGGTCTCTGAGATCCTTCATGTCGCTGGTGCGCACCTTCTTCTGTCCACTGCCGGCAACAGCGTACTATGGTAATATCCACACGACCGGTATGGCGCGCAATACATCAATAAGACCATCCTGCTTCCCGGAGCCTTATGACGCAACCCCTCTCGAACTCTTCCAACTGCTCGAATTGCTCTCGAACTCTTCTCAGACAGACTACACTTGCAAAGGATGCTACTAACACAACAGCACGAGTCAGAATAAAAACAAGTTCAACGGGATGACCTTATATAGTCAGTCAGGTACAGCGATGCATGGCCAAGCGTGAAACTTGAATCATTCGCATGTCTCACAATGTCAAACCTACCCACCAAGTTTCATTCCTGTCGATTGATTCCTTCTGGGTGCAACTATTTTTTTGATGATGAGAGCCCAATTTTTCAAACACTAATTGAATGAAGTGTTCCAGTATTAAATGTTTATGTGTGAATATGTATGTGAATTTCTACAAATATCAGTTTGGTAGAGATAATTAGTGTCAGGAGGTCCAATCTATTGGATGATAAGTGTGAGTGTGGGAGATTTAGAAAACATGGACTTGAGTCTTCACCATCAATTTCTGGTCTTTACACACATTTCTGAGTGCACACCATCTCTCGGTCAAAGGAGAATTCAGAGGATTTCATAAAAACAGCTGTTCAGGCTGGAAGAGGTTAAAAAACAATTTCTGACTTTGGACAAATTCACTGTCAGGCAGTCTGCAAATAGAAAAGTCACAAACAACCCCCAGAGTAACATCTAAGGACCTGCAGGCCTCTGGTAGAGTGGCTAATGTTAGTGTCTGTGAGTCCACCATCAGGCAAACACTGAATATAAATAATATGTATGCATTGATATCAAGGAGGAAGCCATTGCTGTCTAAGAAGAACTGCTGCATGTACACATTTTCCTAAAGAAGTGCAAAAATAGAAGCCTAAATGTAAAACATTATGTTTTGTGAAAACCAAACACTGTATTCCAACTGAAGGTCAACAGAAGGTGGATCTTGCAGAAAGATGAAAACCTAAACACACCAGTCAGTTCAAACAAAAAAATAGGTGAACCAGAGTACATTTCTACAGGGGGAATTCGAAGGAACTGTAGAGAATTTTACAGGTTTCACAAACTTTCTACAACTGTATATTTCATTTTCTTGGGGGAATACATATCTGGTGCTTCATTAGTTTTGCACTGGAGCTAAGAGGCTAATGTAGCTAAGAAGTAATTGATACTAATTAGCAATTAGCATTTGCAAACGACATGCCTAAATCACCACATAAGTTGTTGAGTGATCTAAAACACAGGACTTGTTTATGTGGTTTCTGTTACTGTAAAGCAATAAAAATGGCCAAAACTGGCAAATTTCCGGGCTTCAACTACTGCTACTACTTTAGCTATGATAACGTTTTGTTCATTTGTATGTTATTCAGTGCCTGAAATCACACAGAAGCTACATTGGGTGTAAGGGGAAACTATAAATTTGATTTCTGGCCAATTCACTTATGGCCTAATTTAATCAACTTTGACTCACAAAAAAATTGACTGTTTATTTCAGAATGAGATCATTGTATTAAGATAACTGAGAAGTGGTGAGATTAACTAGAAGAACCACTCACTCCTCCAGAAAAATCTCCACAAACTTCCCAAAGCGACTGGAGTTGTCGTTCCGCACTGTTTTGGCATTCCCAAATGATTCCAGCAGAGGTGTTGCTTCTAGTATCTGGAGAGAACATTCTAATTAGTCCCAGTTTAAAAAAGCATTACCATGCACTGCCCCAACACACAAAATACTGAATGTTAGAACACTCTACATCTCACCTCAATCTGTGTGCATGAAAGCAGGATGGAAAATAGAGGAGTATGTTAGTTTTAGTCATAGTAAAGAGAAACAACAAAATATCTGCAAAACAAAAAGCCAAACAAATATCCACTAACACCAGGAATGAGAACAGGACTGAGCATCTTGTGTAGAGTTTATCGGATTTTTGGACTTTTAATGACAGAAACATTCTAGTTGGTGCAGAATGTGTGGGAACCTTTCTATGCTTGTGCATTTTTGTTCTATAGATTTGTGCAATACATGAAAAATGTATGTAATGCATTCCATTTTATATTTTCTTAATTATATATTTGCATTGTTTTCACAATAAATCTTATGTGCAAAAGAATAGTATATTGGTTCAACACTTAGAATCCAATAACATAGAACACAGAAAGTTATTATATGAAATGGTTATAAATACATTGCCTGATGGCTGAGACACTTCTTTAGGATAGTTTTGAAGTAAGGTTTTGGCCCAAAATGTATTTTTTAAAAATGGGTTCTAAGGCAAAATAGTAGAACAACGTATAGAAAAACATCCTTTTTTCAGATGTTCTGCTATTTTCCCATTGCCAACAATACGTAAAAACTGGTTTTTGATAGAAAATTATATTATACAATTATATTATATTTGTGTTGTTGACATCTGGCTCCCACTGTAATGAAATCTGAGTTAGTGCATTGGGCTACGTTCACATTACCAGGTTGAAGCGGCACAAATCTGATTTTTTTTGCCCTAATGTGACTCAGATCTGATGTTTTCAGAGCCGTGTGGACACGCAAATCTGATCTTTTCAAATCCGACCTGAGCCACTTTCAAATGTGGTGCTAGATGGTATACGTAACTGATTCGTGGCCATGCGACCTTAATGTGACGCTCATATCGGAATTTGCTTTTTTTTTCACTGCGCGTGCGCCATCGCTCAGCGTTACCATGGCAGCAGCGCCAAACGGACATTAAAGCCTGTAAATGGTGGAAAAGCAGCACATCTCACCTTTTTCACCTTCGTCTTGCTCTAATAATAAAGCTAAGGGATGATCAGAGTTAATTATCCTCACAGTGAAGCTCGTTCTGCTCGTTAGTTTGTGCTGATGATGCACATGATTCATTCACGTGACGTTACTGAGTAGGATGTGCTCATGCGGGTCATTTCAGGACGCCGATTCGTTCACATTAAGGACAAATTTGAATGACTTACATAAACGAGTGTGAACCATCGTGTCAGAGAGATCGGATTTGAGCGATGTGGCTTGTAATGTGAATGTAGCTTTGGTGGAATTCCTCTAATGTCCTCTAAGTACCTGTTGTGTTACATTTCTCTTGTGATGAATGGCAGTGAGGTATCTCAGGACCAGCTTGGTAGCCTCTGTCTTACCGGACCCACTTTCACCACTGAAACACAAAAACAACACTTAGAATCATGGAATGCGCACATTCCTGTAAACCACTCAAGAGTTATGCATATGCACACATAAGCCCACGCGTCAAGCTAACCTGACTATAATGCACTGGTTCCGCTTGATGTCCATCATTGTTGCGTAGGCCATGTTTGCAATTGCAAAAAGGTGACTTTAAAGTAAAGCAAACAAATCAAAATGTGATTGTTAGGCATCTGGTCTTGCAAGATCTTACATGAGATTTCAACATTTCAACATTTCAGCAATTCAATTGTGAGAGTGAAGTTGGGATGCTGTTGAGATGTAAACAGTCATTCAGAGTGGTTTGGTGTGAAATGCTCTGTTCTAGAGAAACTTAGAGTCAAAATCGTTCACGGTGGTGGTGATAGGAACCAGACGTCCACCTCTAAAAGCTCCCTCAGAGAAAGTTATTGTATGAAATTATTATGAATACTCAGCCTGGTGTCTGAGACATTGTTGTGTGTTTTTACCTAAAACATATTGTTGAAAGTCTTTCATGAATACTTGCAGGGTGTTGTAAGGCAAAATAGTCCCCAGAAGAAAATGTACTTTTTTTCTGATTTACCACTATTTAACCCTCATCACTGTTACATATAAAACTCAGAAGACACCCATAGGTTCACTGGTTGTTAAGGATAGTTATTAAAATGGCTATATTTGTGTTGTAAACATCACAGCCCCTGGTTCCACCAGCACTGTAGTCTGTATGTTTCTCTACAATGAACCATCTCATATCAAACCACTGTGAGTGGCTTTGTTTATATCTTAATGATTTAGTTATGCAGATTTTTTTTTTAAATTGATAGAATTTCCCTTTAAGTTCAGTCAATGTAAGAGAAATTTTAGTGTATATAATTAACACATGCTGTACTGACAACACACTTCTGTACATTTTAATGCACTATTACTGTATTATTTGCTGAATTGAACATATAGAGAAAAAAAAAACATCAAATGTGGCCTGTGAAAAAGTTGTGGCACATTTTCTATTTATTTTTTTGTTTTTCTAATGTATTAAACTCAGCAAATAAATACAAGTTGTGCACTAAATATAGCAGAAAAATGCCGCATTTAATTGCGTTCTCTGTAGAGGAAGTGTTAAGTACTACTTAGAAAATGAACAAAACATTTAATTTGAATTTGTGCGTGTTTTATACGACTGTAGTTACATAACTCTTCATATCACGGTCATCTCCACTTTTGTCATTTTTTAACTTCTTTTTTTACTGTATTATTTGAGAAATTTCATGATGAAAAGAACAACAGAAATGGTTCAAAATTACTTGGAAAAAAATCTTATTACATAAACTTCCGTTACAAGTTACAGTTTTGGAGATACAATGTTTTGCTCCGACAGTGACAATATCCTGTTATTTAAGCAGCTACGTCAAACAAATGTAATTAACAAATCCATCAGGTATTGTTTCTGAGCATTTCATGGGGTTACCCTATCCAGGGCCAACACACATGCAGAATTTCTCATGTTACGTGATGTAATACACTTGATATGTGTTGTTCTGGTTAGCATGTGTCCAGAGAGCAAGTTTGAGAAATTTGAGACAGTCACTGTCTCTCTTTCTTTCTCAGATGCACGTAAGTACACTTGACCTCACTCGATTAATCCTTAAATTGACTTGTTCTTGCCTTGTGCATACTCTGCAATAATGCAGGTACTAACTAGCGCATGGAATACTACAGTTTCACAGTAGGTGGACAGTTTTTTGATGGCATTTTTTGGGCAGACGAAGCTGTGTAATTACATTTACCACCAATGAAGTTGTAAGTTTGGACTGACTGTGCTGATATACGTGTGACGGCCATTACATGATGGTCTATGTGTTATGTGTTGCACTAAGGAGCCGTTGGCTCACTCACCAATATTGTGAAGAATAGCAATGTTACACACTGAACTGTGATTTCACACTTAAACTTACGGTGGATTCTCCCCTAAGCCATGACCCTCGTACTGGAGGACCATATCAGTGCCATAGATGTTAAACAGCTTGTATGGATTCACTGACACCAGAATACTGCCGATATATGTCTAATCAGAAAGAGAAAAAGAGAGAGAAAAAGACCACAAAGTAAAAAAAGAATGTATTAAATGTGCTCAGAGCAGTTTTACTTTACTGATGCTATTGCTATTTAACCATGATCAGTTTCTTATACTCATTTGCCTGTTTACCATTTTGTTTTCATTTTTGTATCTGTACCTCTCCAGTTTCTACCGATGTACTCGTTTGTTTCATACATTTTATATACGCTGTGCAAGTGAATGCATAAGAATAAAATCATATATAATAATAATAAACTGCTTACGTAGATAAGCTCCTGGTCAAAGCGAGTCTTCAAGTTAATTAAAACAGCTGCCTCTGTCAGATCCCTGAGGGGAAGGGAGAGACAGTCATCTATTCACAATGTCATTAAATTGAACCAATATTTGCTACAGAGCATGTATCTCCTCATTTTGTGTGCATTTGTCAGCATGTATGTGTGTATTTCTTACTCCAACTGTGTCATGTCCTCAATTCCATCTCCTTCTCTTTTCTCTCTGTATCTCATAGTGGGGAGACTCCTTATAGAATACATCTGTTCACAGAACAGGGATTAGAAATCTTGACATGTACAATCGCAAATATATTAAAAGGTATGCAATTCTGATATTTCACTCTAGTGGTAAGAAATGGCACAAGATGTTTCAGTCTTCCCAAAAGTAATCTGGCTGACCCTAATTCAGTATTCTGTAATTTTAATGTGTTGCCTAGTGAATTAGGTCAGTGGGTGACCTCACTGGTTAGCGCCGCATTAAGTAGAGATGCTACCAGTGTCGGCAGTGTAACCTGAGCATGGTTATAATCTGCCTTGTAAATCTCATCTGACATTCGATGTAGCCACAGGCCCTGCAGCTAAACCCTGATGGAGATAGTTAAGCTTGGTCGGGCCTATTGTACAGGCTCTAACCCACACAGGCTCTGGCAAGTGCATTACTGTCAACATTCAAGTAAGTTATACCAGACTTAAATTAATTAAACCCATTCCTTATCTATAAATCCTTCTAACATAAAGGGCACTACATGGCACTTAAGCAAAAGCATGTATTCATCAAGTAATTACTTGTTTGGGCTCATCAGAGTTACAAAATTAGTTTGCAACTCTAATAAGCTCAAAACCTAGATGTCAAATGTCTGGGAAAAAGTTTGTCAAAGGTTTATGAGATGCTGAGAAGTTGGCCTGGCTCCAAATATTTATGAGAAAATTTAAACTTGAAACAGTTTTGAGACTTGAAAAAAGAAGGGAGCGTACTAGTGCTATCAAAATAAGACTACGTAAGGTGAGTTACCTTGTCATACCACTGGCCACTGGGCTCCCCTTCCCGATCTGGTACCCAGTGTACCTCTGCCTCCCTGGACCCAATACTAAAGGGTGGGGGAGTAAGGTGGTCCATCATGTTCTCATCACGGTACATAGACCACTTGATAAGATTCTGGACTGTTCCATGAGGCAGGACCTTCTCTGCAGCCCACATATCTTCTGCTGTTTGTCCCTCCCTGGCATTTTGGGCCCAGTGCTCCTCAGGGCCTTTCCTCTGTGGGGACACCACTGCATATCTGCCATCTGGCCCAATAATCAGTCCAGAGGCTGTAATAGTGGACAGTCCTGAAGGTAACTGGTAAGAGGCCTTTTTCAGATCAGCATTCTTCAGGGCTTCCATCAGCTCAGGTGAGGATGGAACTGCAAAACCTTGTCTGAGGACTGACCCATCTGGCAAATGATAAGTAGCATTTCTGAGATTTCGGTTTAAAAGGGCTTCTGAAAGATTTGGACTGGTTCTATGCCTCCGAGGATCTGCTGATATAATCGAACCATCGGGTAGTTGGTACGTGGCCTTGCGAAGGCTTTCATTCTGCAGGGCATTTGCAATGTTCGGACTGGATGGCTGATACATAGCACTTGGGGAAATAATTGATCCATCTGGAAGCCTATAAGAAGCATTTCTGAGATCTGCATTTTGGAGAGCTCTGGAGAGATTTGGTGGGCGTACTGGATCAGCACTGATTACTGAGCCATCAGGTAGCCTATAGGTGGCATTTCTGAGATCTGCATTTTGGAGCGCTCTGGAGAGATTTGGGGGGCGTACTGGATCAGCACTGATTATTGAGCCATCAGGTAGCCTGTAGGTTGCATTTCTGAGATCTGCATTTTGGAGGGCTCTGGAGAGATTTGGGGGGCGCACTGGATCAGCACTGATTACTGAGCCATCAGGTAGCCTGTAGGTAGCATTTCTAATATCTACATTTTGGAGGGCTCTAGAGAGATTTGGGGGGCGTACTGGATCAGCACTGATTACTGAGCCATCAGGTAGCCTGTAGGTAGCATTTCTAATATCTACATTTTGGAGGGCACCGGAGAGATTTGGGGGTCGCATTGGATCAGCACTGATTACTGAGCCATCAGGTAGCCTGTAGGTAGCATTTCTGAGATCTGCATTTTGGAGGGCTCTGGAGAGATTTGGGGGGCGTACTGGATCAGCACTGATTACTGAGCCATCAGGTAGCCTGTAGGTAGCATTTCTAATATCTACATTTTGGAGGGCACCGGAGAGATTTGGGGGTCGCATTGGATCAGCACTGATTACTGAGCCATCAGGTAGCCTGTAGGTAGCATTTCTGATACCTGCATTTTGAAGAGCACTGGCCAGAACTGGGGGGCGTACTGGATCAGCACTGATTATTGAGCCATCAGGAAGCCTATAGGCAGCAGTGCGAATGGATGGATTCTGAAGTGCATTTGTTAAATTGGGAGAGGTGGGTTCATAAGGGACCTGTGTAGATATAATAGACCCATCAGGCAGTCTGTAACTTGCATTTCGCATTTGTGGATTCTGAAGTGCCTCTGTTAATTTCGGAGAGCTAGGTTTTGACTGTGCATAAATTATCGAGCCATCAGGCAATCTATAGGATGCATTTCTCATGTTTGGATTTTGAAGTGCATCAGATAAATGTGGAGAAGTTGGCTGCAGCTGTTGCTCAGCAAATATAACTGTCCCATCAGGTAGCCTATAAGATGCATTTCGAACGCTCTCATTCCTTATTGCGTGTGACAAATTGGGAGACACTGGCTGCTGTTGACCTGCCATAATAACTGTCCCATCTGGAAGTCTATAGGAAGCATTTCTTATATTTGGATTCTGCAAGGCATTTGGAAGGTTCGGAGAGAAGGATTGTTGTGGTTGGGGATCCATGCCTATTAAAGTTCCATCAGAAAGTCTGTATGAGGCATTCCTTACCTGTTGATTATGTAATGCATTTGAAAGCATTGGAGAGGTGGCTGGATGTACCACTTGATTTCCATGTACCAGTGTGCCATCTGGCAGATGGTAAGTGGAACCACGGATTTGGGGATTATGCAATGCGTCTGACAGAACAGGTGACTTCCTGGGGTCCTGGCTGTAACCAGCCATGGGTGCATAGGGGTAGCTGCTCCTTTGATGAACCAGTTGGGTTTGGTAGGATGCTTTGCGGATTTGTTGGTTTTGTAAAGCATTTGAAAGAACTGGTGACCCTTTTGGACCATAGCCAGGGGGATATCTTGATCCACTCCGACGTAAATGTGTTCGGTAAGAAGCATTTCGGACGTTGGGGTTTTGAAGAGCGTTAGTGAGGAGAGGTCCAGGGCCTGGATCCTCTATGTAATCATATTCTGTCATGACCGGTGAATAGGGAGAGGGAGGCATCTGCAGGGGTGACTCGTATGAAGCACTACGGAGGTAAGGATTTTGGATAGCACTAGACAGCATAGGAGATACAGGTTGACCTGAACTTTGTTCAAAAGCCTCCATTTCAGGAGCATATGGTGACATGGGTGGTAGTAATGGTGATGCAAATGAGGCACTATGGAGGCTGGAAGTTTCCAAAGCATTTGATAGGAGTGGGGAGGCTGGTTGGCCAGGAAGTTGTGCCACTTCAGGAGCATATGGAGAGCCTGGCCTTTGCAAGGGTGATGTGTATGAGGCTCCACGGACCTGAGGATTTTGCAAGGCATTTGATAAAAGTGGAGATGCCACCTGCTCTAGATTCTGCTGTACTACAGTAATTTCTGGGGTGTGTGGTGCTGGTGCTGGTTGCAGCACTGAGGTATAGGAAGCATCACGTAAAGCTTGGTTTTGCAAGGCATTTGATAAATGTAGTGATGGTGGTTGCCCAGGAAACTGTTCTATACTTGTGACATCAGAGGAATATGATTGCATGGGCTGCTGGATTGGTGAAGTGTATGCATTATGTATATTTTGATTTTGGAAAGGACTTGTGAGCATAGGAGATTGAGGCACACTTATAATTTGATTAGTTTCCACAGGGTATCGGTTCTACTCCAACAGGGTAGGGAGATGCAAATGGTACAGCAGGGATCTGTGAATTCTGCAAAGCACCTGAGAGGAGAGGGGAGGGTGGTGCACGAGGGGAAAGAGTGCGCACTGGTAATGGTGAGCCATGTTTGATGGAAGGATGAGGAGAAGTCGGTCTAGAGAAATGCCTAACAGAAGGTTGTGGTGATGGAGGGCCCATGCGTTTTAGAGAAGGCTGTGGTGAATGAGGTGCCTGCCTCAAGGACTGTCTGGCGATCAAAGGACGGCCACGACCAACAGGTCTTTGGGGGTCCCTTGTATGGCCTCCAGGTCCTGGGGGAATGAAGCGCCTCTGCTCCCTCATGGGTGTCCCAGGATGTTGGCCTGAGAGCTGTGGGGATGAAGTGAAGTCCTGAGGCATGATTGATCTGTTGCTGCGTATGGAGGCTCTGAAAGGAGGTACATTTTGTGTTGGAGCACCTGGGCGAGTCATTCGACCAGGAGAGGGCTTTACAGCTCCCATAGGAATGTTTGGACGCCCTATTCCCCGTAGGCGCCCACCAGGTGATCCAAGAGGCAGTGGATCCCTCATTAGACGGGTCGACCTCCGGGAGAGAGTGGGGGAGGGTGGTCTGCGTCCACCTGGAGAAGGAGAAGGAGGCAGCACAGATTCTGGTTCAATTGCAAAACTTCTTCGTGAAGGTGTAGGTGATGCTCTGTGAGCTGCAAATGGGGATTGTGGTCTATCGGGGTGCCTGTGTCGAACGCTGTCCAGTGGATGCATGCTCATCTGTGGGGAGGGTGGAGGACTCATTCGCCTAGGAGGAGAGGGCGAAGGTTGAAGCTTCCTTGCACCAAATGGTCGTTGAGCAATTGATGGGGAGGCGGGTGGGCTGGGTCTCCTCATTGAGGCACGTGGGGAAAGTGGGGGGCTCTGCCTGCGGATGGAACCACGGGGGGAACCTGGAGGACTAGCGCGAGGAGAGGGGGCTCGTGGGGCTATTTGGCGGGTCACAGGCTTAGGGGATGCTGTAGCCTCTATAAATGACGCTTCAGGTTGGAAACGTCTGGAAAACATTGGAGAGGCGGGGGGGCTTACTCTTCTACGTCCAAGAGGAGAAGGAGGGGGTTGAACATGAGTAACTGGAGATGGCATCCCTCTGCTTAGGGTTGGAGATGGAGGCACTCCCCTGGCTCCAAAATGACGAATGGAGGGCTGTGGGGAGGGGCTCCGTCTCACAGGGAGTGCACCAGAAGTATGCATGGAGAGCTGTGGAGAGGTGTGAGGGCTTTGTCGTCGTATGGGTACAGGGGAATGCCTCACATTCATTATTGGCTCTCTAAATCCTCCTGGTGATCCCAAAGGGGATATGGGACCTGGTACTGCCATAGGCGACATGGGACCTGGTGCTACCATGGTAGACATGGGACCTGGTACTGCCATAGGGGACATGGGACCTGGTACTGCCATAGGGGACATGGGTCCTGGTGCTGCCATATAGGACACTGGACCTGGTACTGCCATAGGGGACATGGGACCTGGTGACACCATACGGGACAGAGGCTTTTGTACAGGGGAACCCATTATCCCCATGGACCTCCTGCTTGGTGTAGGAGACGGAGGAAAAGCACCGCCTTGGGCCATTGGTGACATAGTTGAAGACATAGGGCTCGCCAATCTCTGAGGACTGTTAGCATGCTTAATTAACATTGCAGTTGGCGTGGGGATCTGAGGAACCATTGGTTGAAGCATATCTTGTGGGTGCACTGCTGGAGGAAAACCTTCAACCATAGGAGCTCCAGGGATGAATGGTTCATTTTCATATTGAATCTCTGACATCTCTTCAAAATCATATTGTGGCGGAGGCGGTGGAAGCTCGACATCTATCTTCTCTTTACCAAAAAGCTTGACTTGAGGCCTTGGAACTCTGAACATTTCTCCTTGAAGTACCATTGGCTCCATGGGGATGTCACCAAACTCCTCACCATACAACACATCAACTTCCTCACCATCCATAACATCATGCACAGCATAACCATATGGCTGATAGATGTTATAAGAAGACTCAAGATATGGAGAAATCCCTGATTCACTGTAATTAACCTGGTAGTCTTGTAGGTATGGATCATTATAATTTCCATGTGGATCCATATATAGATCACTTGGTCCAACATCACCATATGGATCATCATAGAAACCCTGAGGGTCATCATAAAAATCAAACTGACCCTGGTCATAGGATTCGTTTCCATAAGGTTCATAACCATCCTCTATTAGATACTGGCTCTCATCGTAGTATTCCATGCCATTGTTGTAATATGGGTCCAACGACTGTTGTTCGGCATAGTATTCCATCTCCTCTGGGTAGTAGCCCACCTGATTTTCAGCAGAATATGGGTTATAGTAGCCCATACCGTCGTCATAATACTCTCCTCCACTCTGCATGCCCATCTGTGTGTCATAGTATCCATCTTCTAGATCATAATAGCCTTGATCCTGAGACGGTGCATCATAATAGTCAGCTGTCTCTTCATACTGACTGTAGTGCTGTGGCAGTGTTTGTGCATGTCCCTGCAGAGGAGCATACTGTGCCTCATATCTGTTTGGGTGTCTACTCATTGACTGTCTGTTGAATGCACCTCTTCCTACTCTACCCTGGTTATTATAGTCAAATCCATCAAAATCTGGTTCATATCCATAGTTGTCATACCCCCGAGGTTCTCGCATGCTTGTCTGCCGACTACCCCCAGGAAATCGTTTGTTGCTTGACCGTCCCCAGGGGTCATGATCCCTACCAAGCGATCTCTGTTTCCTTTTAGTTGAGAGGAACTTTTTAGTGAGCCAGTTTGTTGCTCCTGCAATTTTGCCCATTAATGCACTCCGGTATTTAAAATTAGACCCCTCATCTGCATTCTTTTTCCCAAAAAGCCCTTTGAAAAACCCTGTTTTCTTCTCTGCTGGTTTGTTACCACCAATTCTAAGGAGCATGTAGGTTGGCTTATTTCCTGATTTTTCCTTTTCTTTCTCTTTCTTTCTTTTCTTACTGGCTTTGAAACGCATGAGCAGCCTGGGGGCATTTTTCAAAACTGATTTCCTCCTTTTTTTTTTGGCGAGACGACTCTTTCTTCTGCCAAGTCCGAGAAACAGTCTAGATGTGCTTTTAAGCCGCTTCTTTGAGTTCCTCTTCCTCCTAAATCCAGAGAAACGCATAAAGAGTCTGGAGGTGTTCTTTAACCCTCTTTTCTTCTTTTTCTCCTCTGGTGGTGGCTCAGGTGGAGGCTCATCCTTCTTTTTTGCTTTCTTCTTCTTTCCATCTTCCTCTGGTTTAGATTTGGATTTGTGTGCATCTTTGGCTTTCTTCTTTCCTTTCCTGTCTTCTTCTTCACTTTCCTCTTCTTCCTCTTCATCTTCCTCCTCATCTTCATCTTCTTCTTCTTCATCATCCTCATCTGATGCAGCATATTTGGATTTGGACTTTCCCTTTGCTGCTTTGCTTTTAGCGTCAGGCTTTCCACGACCACGCTTGCGAGCATCTCTATCTGATTCTTCGTCCTCTTCTTCTTCATCACTTAACTCTTCATCATCCTCTATAGGCTCTGCGTCTGAACCCTCCTCTGATTCACTAACCACTTTTGCTCCCTTACCTTTATCCTTTCCTTTCTTTCCATCATCTTTTCCTTTACCTTTGGGAGGCTCTTCTTTTCCCTTCTTCTTGTCATCTTTTCCTCCCTTCTTGTCATCTTTACCTCCCTTTTTATCATCTTTACCCCCTTTTTTGTCATCCTTACCCTTTTTCTCTTCCTCTTTGCCCCTAGTTTTTTCTGGTTCCGGTTTTCCTCCTTTTTTGGCCGCTGACTTTGAGTCCTTTTTGCCTGGCATTTTGTCCTAGTCCTAGGACCATGCTATTTTGCAGCCTCTCTGCCAGTCAGAAACAGAATATCAGAAATTCTTCAGAAAAACTTCAGTCTGCAGCAAACTCATTCTACCAAGACAATGTAAATGTAGACAATAATGTAGAAGTACTTCATCACCTCAACAACATTTTAAAATTCTTACAGCATATCTGTTCTTTGAGAAACTATAACTTGCCCGGTCATATGAATGATAATAGACAACCTTTTCTGACTTTTACACATTAACTGCACCACACTTTTGTTCTTACCTTATGGTGTGCTCTCACTCTAGGGTGGAGTGATATGTACTGTCTGTACTGTGACTGTGTAAATCTCTGTCCTCATGGCTCCACTCCTCATCACACCAAAAAGAGTCCTGCAGGTAGAGTTCCTCCGCTGAGGAGAGCGTCTCTATTCCCACAATCATCCACACGCTCCCTCTTGCACTTTCTACTTTCCAGAGGCCGAGGCTTCTCTGCAAAGAACAGAAACATGAAATGACTAATAAGTAAACCTTAGCAGGACTACCTGCTTGGTTAGACCTGTCATGAGTGAAGGGTTGCAAAGGGTTGAGTTTCTGTGTGAATGAGAGGATGTGTGTCAGTGTTTTAGTGCTGTTCCAGTGCTGTAGAAGGAGCCTTAATTTGTCAGCTCTACTTGCCTTGATGTAACTTTAGCTCGAGTCTCATTCCAACATGAATAATGTAGGCATGGAGGCCTGTTACTGCATACACACACACATACACACACAATTAGAGACAGAGACATGGCGTGCACACACATCAGACTCTAAACTAAACCAAATGTGGGCCATTCAAAAGATACTGCATTCAGTTCCAATGTATGCCCATATATACATTTCCCATTATCACTGAGAAGCCATTTGCTTATCAGAATTGTATTTATCGGCAGCAGCATCAGCGGTGTTCGGCAATTAGAGGAGGATGAGGGTTGAGACCGAAGTAGATTATTAGTCATTGAGTGGAATGGAAAAGCTGTGAAATGATCAAACCAATCTATATCTGTCAAATACGGCTATAAATACAGGGCAGCGTGAAACAGTATTAATTAACCCTCTGTGATGTTATTTGCTATGACAAAGGTTATTTAGTGCTAACTAGCTATTCAAACTAGTCAGTAATTGAACATCTTCTTCATAGCAGCTGACTATCAAAGTGTCAGCGTAACACTTGTGGTGGAGTAATTAAAAATATTGACGTAAGGATGTAACCATAGAAGTCTCAGGGTTAGTGCCAGGTGTGGTGTAACTTGCCATCTCAGAACTATTTAAGGTCAGGACTCCGCACTGACATGCTCCAGTTTCTGTAATTAAAAATGTAGCGGCTTCTTCTCCAATTGGACTAAGAGCAAAGGTGAGCTTTGCTAATTGTTCTAATGAGCATGTATGTGTGTGTGTGTTAAAGACAGACTGGATACCAGGGCACTAGCGGTAGGAATTTGCATACATGATAGTAGCATCACAAAATTCATCATTTGATCAAGATTCACAGCATTTTTCAATATAACGAAAATAAAGGATGGCTGAAAATGTTTATGATAATATGGTAATGTTTCCATATCAGTTTATTAAAGCATTCAATATTATCTGAGCACAATATTTGTGACGTTAGAACGGCACATTAAAGTTTTCGCCTTATACATTCAGATGAGTTTCTGGGCAGCATATTAATACTAAACAAAAGCTGTGCCTTATAGTGGCCCGATCTAACTATAGCTGAGCTAGCATGCTAGCCAGACTACAACCTTGCAACATATGACCTTCTTGTGCTGGTTTCCACAAATGCAAATGCAATTCTTATAGGTGTAGGAAAGATTTCACATGGATCTTTCACGTCAAGTCCGTTTTGTCGAGGTTAAAGTTGAACTTAGGTGCAGTCATACATCTACATACATTGACCCAGAGGTCAATGGAAAACAAGTGTGTGTGCCTGAGAATCGCATGACCCGCAGTAATCGTCCCTGCATTTCCTTGGTTTCTCTCTGATGACTCAATGATATCTACGAGGGTGTGGATATCCGGTTGCCAGATCCTCATCTAACTCCTCTTGCATGTAAGTCAATCCCATCATTACCATGCATGATGCACAGTTAACGGGTTGGTAGGTAGCGGTTGGCATGTTAGATAATCATGGAAAATCCCCTTTTGAAAAGGGCAAAAATTTGTGTAAAAATAAGGGCAGACACAGAGAGAGGGAACACAGGGAGAGACAAACAGATCAATTTTGGTCATTGACATTTTTCTGCTGGTAGGATCTAATGAACAGTGAGTTACAGCCTACACACCATCAGAGGTAATCTGGAGTTGGACTTAAATTAGCTATTTACACTTCTGCATTGACCAGCCGATCATGTTCTTATTTCACTTAACCAGCCAGGTGTAAATACCCTGAAAATGCATTGTGAGCAGATTATGATTGGATCACTTGAACCATATTCAGAGGTGGTCAGAGAAGAATCTTGACCACATTTAACACAAATGTAAATGGAATGTGCTTTCAACGTCTGCATTCTCGCGTTGCGCATGACGTCACACTGTATAGGAGCCGCCATTTTGAAGACTGAATCAGGAGCTGCGTCCCAATTGACTAGGCTGTCCTATTTTGAAGGCTCCTTCATATGCGGCCTTCTTTTCCATGGCAACAAAGGATAAAACGGATGGATCCTTTGCCAGCCAACATATCCCAAGGTTCATTGCATGCCGGCGAAACTTTAAGAACATGGCGGCATCAGCAGAGGAGTGAACTGAGGAGACCCTTTTAATTATAAGTGTTGGGTTTAAACTTAGGCGGAGCTAACGATACAAAAGCTAAAAAAAGCCAATGCGGTCTGAAGCAGAACTTGTGCTAATGTTTCGTTTTGTTTTAGGGAGCAAAGAGTAGACAGAGAGAAGCATCTCCAGCTCTAATGAATGAAAAAATAAAAAACTAATATTAAAGTTTCTGTCTTCATCTTCAAAGAACTTTAAAATAACTTCACAGCGGCGTTTCGTGACGCACTGGTAAGGGCAGAAACAGCGGTGCTGTGACGCAAACAGAAAATCCGCCGTAGAGCCGAACATCTCATTTCAGTTCAGCCTTCACGGGTCTAAGCAGCCTTCGAAGGACACGCCTTCGTAGACCACGTCCTTCAAACGATCCAGCCCCTGAATTGGGACACAATGAGGGAGTGACTGTGTAGTGCGAGGCCTTCAATTAACTGTGCTTTGTGAATGATTTATCTGCACGACGCGACAGAAGCTGAGAGACAAGAGACACACAGACCTTTAATTCAGTGTTTTCACTCCAGGCTTGGAGCCCCTGCACTGTATAATTCAGTGTTTTTCTCTGCTGTTCACACCTCGTTCAGCTCAAGAAGGGATTCACTAGCTAATAATATCAGGTATTTTAACCAAGGAAACCACAGTTATGCAGTGCAGGGGTTGCAGGACTGGAGCTGAACTCTGCACTAACTACACTAGCAAACTTACAAAATCACGTCTGACGAAACACAACGTAGTTTTCCGACCCACAACATTCAGTCTGATGTTTAACGCTAAATATTGTTTTTGTTTCTTCATTCAAACATCATTTAAATCTCCAGAAACAGGGAGTAAAGTTATACCGGCTGTTTGCAGCTCCGTTGGAGGGACGACTGTTTATCTCTCGGCTGTTAACATTAGCAAAAGTTATCTAAAGGCTGGCATTGTTCACATTTGTGTTAGTTAGCTGATGTTGTTACCCTCCTATGATGACCAGCGTGTTTTCTCCTCTTTATGCAACACCATGGGATCCTTTGCCCACCCTGACTTGAAGAGCCGGTGGGCTTCTGTGCTTTTAAATGCTTTGACAGACTCTCCAGAATAGGGAGAGGGGCTGAGTATGAGATAAATATGTCAGGAAAACACAAATTTGGTAGCTTTCCATCAGTTTAAGTGGGATCAGGAGTTCAGGGGAAACTGTATAAGGATCGCAACATGTTTTATCGACTTTGTCGAGGTAACGTTTTTACTCTTCCAAAGTAAGATGAGTAATTTTAGCCATATTTCACCAATTTAGTGGAAAGTAAAAAAAATGACCTGAACATAAAATGTTAATGCAAGGCATAAACAGGCTCAAAAAACATATTAAACCTTATTAACTCAGATTTAGTCTGAGAAAATCTAAGAAAACTGTTGTGCTAATTCCCACTGGAAAGGCAAACCATGAGGTTTTAATCCTAATTGTTCAAATTGTCCTTTTTTCAGTAGGGTTATCAGAGACAGGAAGGAGAAGGATCACATGATCACAGAAACCATTAAAAGTAAAAAGTATCTGCGGGATCCTGGTGGTGTCCAACAGTCACTAATGCTATTTTGTGTTTGTCCATATGGGTTGATATCACAGTGTAAAGGATCCTAATAAGACGGATCCACATGCACTTGATGGCTTCCTAATGGGATCTCAAGGTTTTCCAAAGGAAACTAGTGGTCTATAATGGTAACAATAAAGCCATAAGAAAGCAAAACCATCAGGTTTAAATCCTGATGGCTGTGAAGCTCTTTTTTCAGCAGGGAAACCTAACCTTAGGAACAAAGCTACATGTAAGTCAAAAATCCAGATTTAGGTATTTTACTCAGGTTATTTTGGCCATTTTGGTGCCAGAAGAGGTAAATTTATGGTCACAAACACAAGTAATTTAACCACAGCCGGTACAAAGGCAGAGCAGCTTTCTACGTCTATCCATTCAGGTGTTTAAACATAACGCTACACTGCCGCCCACTGTTCAAGCCACACAGATATAGCAGGAGTTTCAGCCGGGGTGAGTTCCAATACGCGTGCTTCTGTTCTAACTAGGACACTGACTCCATCTAAGCAGCCAGGATTCTACACACTAATTAGGCGTTCTAGTTAGGACACAAGTGCGCGTATTGGAACGTGGCCAGTGAATAGGCTAAGGAATGAAACGCTATCGTTTCCCAAACGACAGCGAGACTGAAGATGAATCTTTTGAAACTCGGGTCTAACGACGAAGCCAGTTTTTACTTTGCATAAACACTAGGCTGTGAGACTAAATTCATCGTAAACACCGCATATTTCGCCGTCTTACGTCAACGGTTAGCGTGTACGGCGTGAAGAAAACGTTAGAAGCTAAACAGCTAACGCTACACCAACGGTCTTTCTGAGGGAGTCAGCGATTATCCGGCGCTTTGGTCGCTTTCTGTGTTCGTAAAGGTTTAGTTTGACTTTGGAAAGTGAAAACTGTGAGAGAAAACTTTCTTATCGAAAGAACCAAATTAAACGTCTTAAAGACGTTTCTCACCCCCTACCATTTCTTTTTTATATGTACATTTCCTCACAGGCTGAACTCCTCGGCAGAGCATCTCTCTGAAGCACTGATGAGTCGTTCACGGACGAGTCGACTCTTTGAACTGGCTCTTTTATATGAGCGTTAGGAGCCGACTCGCATTAAAAAGATAATTTTTTTTTTTTGTTTTCTTTCTTTCTTTCTTTCTTTCTTTCTTTATTTATTTATTTACTTGCTATAAGACAAAAACAAAAGGGTAGATCTTATGAATTTTGACGTTTTTGTATATTACAGTTTTATTCTAGTTGAAAATGGTGGTAACAGCGCTAACGTGGCTAATTCTGGGAACAAAAACCTCTCCGTGCTGAGTGAAGAGTCGTTTGAGGGAGTCGGCTCTTCTTGGTGAGCTGAGTCGATCAGTCTGACTCACTGATCAGAGCCGGAATGCCCATCGCTGCTCGACAGGCTTTCGCGCGCACGCGCACTACCGCGTCATGCGAGCCGGCGGCGCGCTGCTCCGCTCCGCTCGTGCCCGCGCTGGGCTCGGCTGCTGTGCGCGCTCTCGTCACAGTGAGGAGCGGAGATGATGAACGGAGCGGGCTCGTTCGGCGCGGGCCGAGCCGGAGCCGCCTTCGACCCGATCAGCTTCGCCAGGAGACCGCAGACCATCCTCCGCGCGCTCGCCTGGGTAAGAGGACCCGCAGCCCCGCGTGCTCACGCGCTCTTTGGCTCTGTCTGTTACGGCTGGTGAGGTAACGCTGGACGGACCGACTGACCGACTGACCGGCTGAGATTTGTCTTCCTAGCTGAGATTTATATTTTATTTATATATTTATTTTATTTATATTTTTGTTTCTGAGTGACGTGTTGGTACATTTTCTACATAGAAATAGGTTTATCTATAATAATAATAATAATAATAATAATAATAATAATAAGTATTATTATTATTATTACTATTATTTATTTTGATTTCTGGGGGACGTGACGTGGGTGTTCATCTTCCACAACGTATTAATCAATTAATTAATTAATTAATTTATTTATTTCTCTGTGTTTTTCTGGCTGGCTGGCTACTGAGATTTTGCTGCATTTTCAGTTTTTGGCACTAATTCAAAATTATACAAATATACTCATTTATTTGTTTAGTTTTGGGTTAAGGAAGTTTTTATACTTATCTACATAATATTTTTTTAATTATTATTATTATTATTATGTATTTTTTAATATATCTACATACATTCGCAGGTACATATAAATATGCTTTTGTCTATAAAATAACCCTGGTTGTTTTGAACGGGCCTTTGAGCGCTGATATCCAGGCGCTGACGTCACATGTTGCCGTGGAAATGACGCAGACACCACGTGGTCCCGCGCATCGCGGCTCTGTTGTCCTCGATTAGCCGCTGCGCTGATGGTAATAACGCAGATGTGATCACGTCATTACGTCATTCAGCGGTTCATTATTATAGAGACAGACAGTAGAACCGCGCCCGACAGGCGGCTGTGGAGGAGCTGAGCGCTGAGGTCACACTGCTAGAGCACTGGCGCTGCTGGAGCACTGTGGGCTCTAGATAAGTGCATATGGACCAGACGTGGCCCACAGTAAAACCTTATTTGGAGCCCGTTTCCACCACTTGGGGGAAAAAGGCCATGTTAAAGATGGTTCTTCAAGGGTTCCTTAGTAAAAGCAGTGGTTCTGTTTAGAACCATGAGTTCTATATAGAACCATTTTCATGCTTGTTCTTTGCATGGTGAAATGTGTCATCAGATGGATGGAGAATGTGATTTATATGGTTCCATGTTCCACCAAAAAGGTTCTGATATTGTTACAAGTTTGACATCATAACAATAGAAGAACTCCTTTTTTGGCTCTATACAGACCCATTTTCAATAAGGTTCCATATAGAACCATACAGAACACATTCCCCATCAATCTTTGGCCATGCAAAGAACATTCAGCATGAAATGTTCTATATAGAGCTCATGGTTCTAAATAGAAGCATTGCCTTTACTGAAGAACCCTTGAAGAACCGTGATTTTAAAGGGTGTATGTCCTAATAATGAGAATGTGTATCATAATAATGACTAATTGTCTCATAATAATGAGAGTATCTCATTATTCTGACTTAGTATCTCATAATTATGACATAGTATCTCATAACTGACTTAAAGTCTCATAATTATGACATAGTATCTCTATAATAATGACTTCATGCCTAATACATATTAGAAAGCTCATAATTCTGACTTAGTATCTCATAACTGACTTAAAGTCTCATAATTATGACATAGTATCTCTATAATAATGACTTCATGCCTAATACATATTAGAAAGCTCATAATTCTGACTTAGTATCTCATAACTGACTTAAAGTCTCATAATTTTGACTTAATATCTCACAACGCTGACTTAAAGTCTCATAATTATGACTTAGTAACTCATAATTATGACTTGCCTCACAATTCTGACTTCAGGTCTTAGGATTCTGACTTAGTATCTTGTAAGTCTGACTTAAGGTATCATAATTATGACGTAGCATCTCAACACTGAGTCTTCTTATGTAACAAGATTATTGTTGCTTTTTCTTTGACTGTTACAAAACAAATATATCAGTTTGTGTGGCTGTACAGTACTTTGGGTCGTGCGCAGTAACATCCTTATTTTGCAGCCATAATACTGACACTGAGTTCCTTAATATCACGGAGATAAAGGGACTGAGTCAGCCTGTAACTGCCACAATGCTAATGTCTTTATAGGATGTCCACTGAGTCTTGTGAATGAAAATGCTTGAGTGGATCCAGCATCTGTTTGCTCTGTCAGGCTGTGATCGGTAGTGCTCTGGTATCTGCCTGGCACATGAGAAGGTTTGGTTTCCGCTCCACTTATAGGCATCACCTGATTCCGTATGTGCTGCTTTCCCTGTCCAGAAGCTCAGATTTACCAAAAAATAAGTCATAATATTCACTTCATGTCTAATACATATTAGAAAGCTCATAATTCTGACTTTAGTTGTTGTAATTCTGATTTAGTATCTCATAATTCTGACTTTGTATCTTACAATTCTGATTTAGTATCTCATAATTCTGACTTTGTATCTCATAATTCTGATTTAAGGTCTCATAATTCTGACTTTAGTTCTCATAATTCTGACTTAGTATCTCATAATTCTGACTTAAGCCATCATAATTATGATTTAGTATTTCATTATTATGAAACAAGTGTAGGTTTGGTTTCCGCTCCACTTACAGGCATCACATGATTCCGTATGTGCTGCTTTCCCTGTCCAGAAGCTCAGATTTACCAAAAAATAAGTCATAACAATGACTTCATGTCTAATACATATTAGAAACCTCATAATTCTGACTTTAGCTCTCATAATTCTGACTTAGTATCTCATAATTCTGACCTAGTATCTCATAATTCTGATGTAGTATCTCGTAATTCTGACGTAGTATCTCATAATTCTGACTTAAGGTCTCATAATTCTGACTTACTATCTCATAATTCTGACTTACTATCTCATAATTCTGACTTAAATTCTCATCATTCTGACTTAAAGTGTCATAATTCTGACTTTAGTTCTTGTAATTCTGACTTAGTATCTCATAATTCTGACTTAGTATCTTATAATTCTGACTTAAGGTCTCATAATTCTGACCTACTATCTCATAATTCTGACTTAAGCCATCATAATTATGACTTAGTATTTCATTGTCATGAAACGTATAGGTTTGGTTTCTGCACCGGTTATAGGCATCACGTGATTCCGTATGTGCTGCTTTCCCTGTCCGGAAGCTCAGATTTACCAAAAAAATAGTACATTTGAAATGGAATTTCTGTAGATGGGCTGCACAACAGTTTATGTAAGAGCAGGTATAAGAGCCACCGAGGTTCCATTTAAACGGGTTTCGCTGCACTGGTAGATGGAATGTACCCTGAGATTGTGTGCTGTGATGTCAACTGTGAGGTCAAACCCTTCTAAATGGATCATTGACCAGTTAGAACATGCTTAATTACTCAGTCTGTACTCTAGACTTTGTGCTGTGTGGATACACTCACTGCCCACCTTTTTACCATATAGGTGCGTTTTGTAGTTCTAGAGTTACAGATCTGTTTCTCTGCATAATGTTTTAGCCCCCTTTACCATGTTCATCAATGGTCGGGACCCTCACAGGCCCATAGTGTGCAAACGATTACAGGAACGATTACATTAAAGTCATCTGTTAATCCTTATTTTTGCTGGAACAGGACTGGATATGTGACAGTAAAGTGAGGTCAAATGAAGAAGGTGCATGTTCTCTCCTCTTCTGAGTCCTCATGAAGTTAATATTTTGGTAAGCACCACAGACAGAAGCAGCTGCTGGTAGATCACATACACGCAGTGGCCACTTTATCAGAAACCCCCCTATTCTAGCTCCACCTTGCTGGCATACAGTCAGAGACTCTAGCTCATTTGTTGGTACTCAAGTTTGTGTTGGTCATCTAGAACACATGTGTCAGACTCCAGTGCTGGCGGGACACGGCTCTGTAGAGTCGAGCATTCTGTCTCACTATTATAGGGAACAGAAATGGTCCTGTTATCAGTGTGTTCCCCATTGGAGCACTATCTAGAACACTATTATATATATATATATATATATATACATACAGAGTTGTACAAGTAAGACCTTCTGTTGCTGCTCAGTGTATCAGCCCCCCTCTACCCCATTCATCAGTGGTCAGTTTCTGACCACATGTCCAGATATTATTATATGGGTCATCAGCACTGCAGTGACATGCTAGAGTGTGTGGTGCTGGTGGCTGCCTGGAGTTTTTACACACCTCAGTGTCACTGCTACGTTAAGAGTGGACCACCACCCACACGTACCCAGATAAGAGCTGCTGTGTGTCCAGAAACTGACCACTGATGAAGGGCAGGAGGATGACTAACAAACCGTACACCAGCTAAGTGGAGCTACAGGAGAGGGGCTTCTAATACAGTGGTCAGTAAGTGTACACAGTGTGTAAAACCTCCAGCAGCACCGCTCGCTGTGGTGGTCTCTTTCCATTGATGGGCAGGGTAGAGGGGGGCTGATAAATTGTGCAGCAGCAGATGGACCACAGTCTGAACTGACCCTCCTGATGATGATGCTGCTGCTGCATAAACTCAGACTAATCTAATTAACCATTGCTCTGCCTGTTTTTCCCCGTTTTGTATCCTAATATTTTATACTAAAGCTGTTTCTTATCCGTTGTCGACCAGAGGAGGATGGGTTCCCCTTTTTTTGTCTTGGTTCCTCTCAAGGTTTCTTCCTTTTGCTCTTAGGGAGTTTTACCTTGCGATTGTCGCCATTGGTGATGCTCATGGGGGCTCGGACCTGGATTTTTCTGTAAAGCTGCTTTGTGACAACACCTGTTGTGAAAAGCACTATATAAATAAACTTTGACTTGACTTTGAAATCCTAAACCTATAGAGGCAGAAATCCAACCACTCTTCCTCTCCCAGATGAAAGCATTAAGTGCTGTTTGTGTGATGGGTACAGTTTTGGTGTCTACCAGGTCTTCCAGGTGGTTGTTAGGAGTCTCATTTTCTCGGTAGCTTTTAATCATTTTTTTAAGCTCCGGTTTTGGAAACGACCATTATTTTCATTTCATTTTCTCCTCAGAAACACCTCCCAAACTTGTGCATTAAGGCTATTTCGATTGGACACTGAATGAATGAAAGGTGGTCTCTGATTCGGTAGGTGTTTCTGATGAAATGGACGCCGAGTGTAGGTACAAGGCTGGTGTTTCTGATAAACTGGCCACACAGTGTGTAGTGAATGAGATGTAGTTTTAGTGTCTTTGAGAAAAACACTCCCATCTGACTCACAGAACTCTCGGGTGCGTCCTCTGAGTGCTCTCTCAGCGTGTCCTGCCTTTCAGCGCGGTACATCTCTTCCACCAATAGCCACTGCAGCTGGGACTGTTGCCATGGCGATGGCGTGATTTACGCGCATGCGTCAGCTTACGGAGTGTCGCTGCCTAAAATAGCACAGGCCTCGCCATCGCCTCTTTCACTGTCTCTTATTCAGCCACACACAGCACTCCTTGCTTTCTGCTATTCACTTCACCGTGTATACCGACATTTCAGTCAGCATTCATAAGATTACCTGTACCTACATAAGCCACTGTCATAAACCTCTATAAGCATTTATAAAGGCTTATACCAACAAGCGTCAGTGGTTGCAGGCTGCTTTTGTTCATTTTGAAGATATATTCCACCTCAGTAAGTGTTACGACAACTATTTGTTGGAATAAGCCTTTTTTTACAATATGGCCAAAAATATGTGGACACCCCTTCTAAGTACTGAGTTTCAGCCACATTCATTGCTAACAGGTGCATAAAATCAAGCACATAGCCATGCTGTCTCCATAGACAAACACTGGCAGTAGAATGGGTCATATTTAAGAGCTCCAAGACTAAATGTAGCACTTTCACAGGATGCCACCTTTACGAAGTCAGTTTGTGAAATTTCTGCCCTGCTAGGTCTGCCCCAGACAACTGTAAGCACTATTATAGTGGAATGGAAGCATCTAGGAGCAACAACAACTCAGCCACGAAGTGGTAGACCACGCAAACTCACAGAGTGAAGCATGTAAAAATCACCTATCACTCGCTACATTGTTCTAACCTCTTATGCTCAGGGGTATATTTCGGTTTTCCATCTGAATTTACATGCCCAAATCGTAAGGGAAAAATTATTTCGTAACTGCATGAAACAAATGTAAATTTTTGTTTTATTTGTAAAAGTTCCTCAAATTAAGAGAAAATGTGTTTTATGATCAGAAACATAATGTTATTTGCTTACAATTTACTGCTGAAAGCCAAAAATCTTAGAGACTCAGTACTTTTTTATAAAAATAGTTTTTACAGAGCAGATCACTGAAGAGATGCCATCTGAGATCCGTTTATAGCCCAGATTTGTGGTGGGTCAACTCTCAGTAGAAAAAAAAATGAAAAAAGAGTTCAGCTTCTTTTATTATAAAGGTTTAACATTACATTACCCATCTATTTGACTGGAAAGAAGACTATTATGAAATATTAAAGTTATGAAGTAAAGAATAAGTGCGTTAAAAAGGCTAAACAGCCTCTGGAAGCAACAGAACTGTGTGTTCGAAGCTTCAAGAAATGGGTGTAAAGCCTGCCGCCACTGGACTCTGGAGCAGAGGAAACGTTCTCTGGAGTGCTGAATCACACTTAACTATCTGGCATTTTGATGAACAAATCTGGGTTTGGTGGATGCCAGGAGAACATTACTAGTATACGAAGTACCAACAGTAAAGTTTGGTGGAGGAGGGATAATGGGCTGGGGCTGTTTTTCAGAGTTTTGGCCCCTCAGTTCCAGTGAAGGGTGATGTTTATGCTACAGCAGACCAAGACATTTTGGACAATTATATGCTTCCAACTTTGTGGCAGCAGTTTGGGGAAGAGCCTTTCCTGTTTCAACATGACCCTGAGCACAAAGTGAGCTCCATAAATGTTTTGATGAGTTTGGTGTGGAGGAACTCCAGTGGCCTGCACAGAGCCCTGACCTCAACCCCACTGAACACCTTTGGGATGAAATGGAATGTCGATTGAGAGCCAGGCCTTCGTGTCCAACATCAGTGACCTCTCAAATGCTCTTTTGACTCAATGGGCACAAATTCCCACAGACAATCGAAAATCTTGAGGAAAGCCTTCCAGAAGAGTGGAGACTGTTATAGCTGCAAAGAGAGGCCAACTCCATATCAATGCTCGTGGTTTTGAATGGTGGTTTTGAATGGGAAAGCTCGTATAGATACCCACATGCTTTTTCTCTCGATAGATTTATGTCAGGCTTATGTAGGTGCAGAACTCCACATATGGGTCTTTGCGAGCGCGAGTGATGTGTAATCTCTTGCATTGGTGCAAATGAACCACATTCTGAGTCCGTGGTGTGAATGACTCCACATGTACGTGTCGAGTTGGAGCTCAACTCAAGGGCTCTACATAAAAGAGTGCATGAGAGAGTAAAAGCAGGTTTACTTTTCTGCCATTCTGTATCCTTATAAATGAGCAAAAGAGGAAGAACAGAAAGGGAGAGCTAAACAAAGAGATAGACAGCACTGTGCTGTTTCAGATTCTTGTGTTGAGGCCTTTTAAATAAATGAATCGTATTATTATTTAAACAGAGCTAAAAGCTAAAAGCTAATGTGTTACCTTTGCTCTCTCTCTCTCTCTCTCTCTCCCCCCAGATATTCTCTATGGTGGTGTTTGGCTCTATAATAAATGAGGGCTACGTGAATATGGGCAGTGAGCGGCTGCACTGCGTTTATAATAAAAACGCAGACGCCTGTAACTACGCCATCACTATAGGGGTGATTGCGTTTCTAGCCTGCCTCTTCTTCATGGCTCTGGACGTCTACTTCCCTCAGATCAGCAGCGTGAAGGACCGAAAGAGGGCCGTGCTGTTGGAGATGGGCTTTTCAGGTAGATGTGTACACTTTCACTCACAGACACAACCAAATACATCTCTTTTTTTCACTACGTCCGCTCTACCCTTCCACACTTTTCATCTGCGTCATACATTCGTAATACGGGTTACATACAAGGGTGGAGTAAGGTCGGGCAGTATAACAGTAATCAGGTATACCAGTCTATTTTACAGAACCCTGCTGGTGACATCCTGTCTAAATAAAAATAATGAGTGGCCATGACTTAGTAAGGCGTGGGAACGAGATCATTAAGTCGTGACGTTAGTTTTTTTGACTTAGTAAGGCGTGGGAATGAGATAATTATCCTTCTTGTACGCATGCCTTACTAAGTCATGGCCATGACTTAATTATCTCATTTCCATGCATTACTAAGTCATGGCCATGACTTATCTTGTTCCCACGCCTTACTAAGTCATGGCCACGACTTAATTATCTCATTCCCATGCCTTACTAAGTCATGGCCACGACTTAATTATCTAGTTCCCATGCCTCACTAAGTAATGGCCACGACTTAATTATCTCGTTCTCAAAGTTTACTAAGTCATGGCCATGACTTAATTATCTCGTCCACATGCCTTATTAAGTCATGACCACAACTTAATTATCTCGTTCCCACACCTTACTAAAACATGGCCTTAATTATCTCGTTCCCATGCCTTAGTAAGTCATGGCCATAACTTAGTTTTCTCATTCCCACGCCGTACTAAGTCATGGCCACGACTTAATTATCTAGGTTATTTATTTTTATTTATACTGGATGTTGCCAGCCGGGCTCTGTACTATTTAAAAACATAGATGGCATTTAAAAGTGATGACGGTATTTTAAAATTATTACAGTGTCAGATTTTTAATCTACGTCTGAACTGAACTAAACACATTCCAGCCATTTATTTTTTAGAGGGCTCAGATTTGTGGCACTGATAGATAGACAGGAAAATCAGAGCCAAGAAAAACCTCAGAAAAACTGAGCATGATAGCAGCTTAGCGATGGCTAAGAGCTTCTCACCACGGAACACGTTCAGCTTTCACTCTAATACCAGTCACTTAACCTTGCGCTCTCAGAGATCCTCTAAACAGTGTCGTTTTAGCTTCAGTTAGCTAGAACCAAGCCTGTGCTGTGGTGTGTGGAACATTTGACCTGCTAGCTAAGCTCTTGTTAGCTTCGCTAGCAGATCACAAACGCCAAAGAAGCGCCACAGAAGCGCAGAACGCTTCAGTCACAAACGCCACAGAACAGCTTTGATTTTGGCTTTCTGTCACTCCAATCCCAGTAATTCCACTTTTACTCTCTCAGATGTTTGTTTTATCATCTACAGTTGTGTCAGCAGAGCAGCAGTTAGTCAGAATCAAGCCTGTACTGTGCTGTGTGGCACTGTTTGGGTCTATAGCCTGCATGCTAAGCTAACATTAAGTTAAAGATCAAAATACCACAGAATATTTTTACCTTTCTTTCCCTTCAACGTGTGGCTCGACTTCTCTTCCTCAGATTTGAATCATTATCAGTGAAACTTGTGTTGGTGTTTTAGTTAGCCAGAGCTAAAAAGGCTCTGTTCTGTGGTAAGCAGAGCTGTTATCATGCTAGCTAAGCTAATGTTAGCCAGCTCCTCTCTCCTAGGTAGCAGCAAGAGCCAAACTGACCCAGTTTCAAGAAAATTCTCTCCATGACCGACCCCAACCTGATAGTACCGGTTAAATTACCATGTGGCAATAAAAATAGCCGTCATCACGTCATGAATAAATAAAAAAATATTATAACATAACAAGAAATACAGCTTTCCAAAGTTAAGGTTAAATTCTCCTTTAAAGAATTTATTCATCAAGCACTGAATTTAAACAACATTTTTGATGCCGATAAGCTTTCCATGTGTGATGCTAATATAGCAAGATGTTAGTTTTCACCTATTTAATCCGAAAACTCAATTTCATTACATAGAACTTCTTACATGTAATGTATTTAACATTCAAAACACTTTTGGCCACACAAATGAAACATAAACATCCTTTTGGCTGCACTATACTGTCCTGCATGAAAGCAGAGAGGAAGGGTTAAGTGATTGATGTCCGAACCTGACAAAATCCAAGGGGAGAGCAAATATTTCAAGCTCTAGCAGTTCACACTACACTTAGCTAACTAGCGCACTGCTGTCAGGATAAGCTAGCACTCAATTTGGTTTTAAGAACCTGTGGTTCACGGAAATCATTTCAAAATCGACACAATCAACAGATATAAAACGATCATGGCTATCTAGCTTTCACTAGAAGTGTTTATCTGTTGCAGTTTGCGAGCGGTTAGCTCGGCTGATTGCTCTTCGTCATTTGTCTGTGGAGAAGATCCAAATGCACTGGAATATAATGCTGTCTGAAGTCTTGAGTTTTGTACACGTCCTCCCTCTGGTCTAATCGAGGGGGCAGCGAAAGAAACTTCCCTCGACCCTTTTGAGAATCTGAATGTTCTTTGAGATATAAGCAGGTATTCCCTGAGGGCAAGTGTGGAGTGGGCATCTGAAAGTGCCTTTCTCTTCCAGAATTGCAATGCAATTCTATTAGTTGCAATTGCAATTGCTACATTTGCTTGACTTGCAAATGAAGAGGCATTTTTTGGATTGATGCTGTTAATAATTGGATGTCTCAGAAAGTGAAGTCTGGACTGTCAGTCGCAACATGGAAGCCAATGGAACTGATTTTAGGTTGCCCTCAAAACAATGAGTGCGTTTACATGCACTCAATAATCTGATCATAATTAGATTTCTGTAGTTATCTGATTATTAAAATGGTCATGAAAACACCATACTCCGATCTAGACATCTGATTAAGAAATCCGATAAAGAGAGCTGGATTTTAGCTCAGCAATCGGAATTCTCAGTGCATGTGAACTCTTACTCTGATTTCTTTCGGATTTCTCAGTCTGTGCATGTGCGAAAACAGACGGCGGTACCGGAAATAAACAGCGTTGCAGCAAGACGCTGAAACCAACTACATTCTAGACGAAATTCAGGATCTAAATATTCTTCATCTTCTAGATGATGTATGTTCATTTTTTTATTTAAAGTGGCACGACGTTAGTTTTTTAGCTGGTTGCGAAGCAGAAATCTGTTTACTGTCTGACTCATGTAGAGTTTCCCCATTATCTGATTACTCAAGTGCATGTAAACACGTTGATCGCATTACTGACAAAATCTTTTCTACAGTTATCGGATTATTAAGTGCATGTAAATTGAAATTTTAGGATTCTCACAGAGATTCAAAGTTACTATTAACTAAAATAATAAGGAAACTGCTAACTTTACCTGAACCCTCCTACATAACATTGACATAACCATGCCATAACCATGCATTGGTAGATGTTGTATGCAGTCATGAGTTGTCATGACAGGTCATGTCCAGTAATATAACAGTGCCAATACCATTCATTGTCATGACAGATGACATAAGCTGTGATAAGATCAAACAGTATGACAGCAGTCATTACAATTACCAGTAATGGTAACATGACACTGTTATATCCTTGAACACATGAACAACATATGATACCTCCTGTGGCACATGGTTATATCAATGTTATGTAGCAGCGTTCATGTAAAGTGTTACCAAAAACGTATCTGCAAAAGTGGTGAGACGGTTTCATCCACCACACCCAACAATTTCAGACACCACTCGCAGCATTCCTTCACTTCCTTTTCCTGCTTTTTCCCTGCAGGGTTCTGGACGTTCCTCTGGTTTGTGGGATTCTGCTTCCTGGCCAATCAGTGGAGTCGCACCTCCCCCAAAGAGCTGCCCTTAGAGCAGGCCACAGATGCAGCACGAGCGGCCATCGCATTCTCATTCTTCTCCATTCTTACCTGGGTAAACTACACACACACTTACTCAGCATCCTCTACAGGGAAGAAGCTTAAATAAGGCATTGTTCTGCAAATTTTAGGACGCTGTTTCCACAACCCCATTTCCAAAAAAGTTGGGACGCTGTGTAGAATGTAAATAGAAATAGGATGCAATGATGTGTAAATCATGTAAACCATATTTTTAAAGGAAAATACTACAAAGACAATGAATCAAATGTTGAAACTGAGAAATTTTTATTGTTTTTTGAAAAATATATGCCCATTTTGAATTTGATGCCAACAACACGTTCCAAAAAAGTTGGGACGGGGGAATGTTTACCACTGTGTTTCATCACCTCTTCTTTTAACAATACTCTGTAAGCGTTTGGGAACTGAGGAAATGGACTGCTGTAGTTTAGAAAATGACATGTTTTCCCATTCTTGTTTGATATAGGATTTCAGCTGCTCATCAGTTCGGGGTCTCCTTTGTCATATTTTTCATTTGATCATGTGGCAAATGTTATCAGCGGTGACAGGTCTGGACTGCAGACAGGCCAGTTTAGCACCTGGATTCTTTTAATATGGAGCAATGCTGTTGTAAAACATGCAGAATGTGGTTTGACATTGTCTTGCTGAAATAATCAAAGCCTTCCCTGAAAAAGACGTCATCTGGATGGCAGCATATGTTGTCAAACCATATATATATATCGTTAAGCATTAATGGTGTCTTCACAGATGTGCATGTCACCCATGCCATGTGCACTAATGCACCCCTAAACCATCATGAATACTGGCTTTTGAACTGTGCACTGATAACAAGCTGAGTGGTCTTTAGCCCGGAGGACACAGTGTCCATGATTTCCAAAAAGAATTTCAAATGTTCCCCTCAGTCCATTTTAAATGGACTGGCCCAGAGGAGGCAGCATTTCTGGATCCTGTTTATATGTGGTTTGGAGTTTTAACTTGCATTTGTGGGTGCAGCGACAAACTGTTTTCAGAAGTGTTTCTGAGCCCATGCAGTGATTTCCACTAGAGACTCATGTCTGTTTTTAATGCAGAGCCTCCTGAGGGCCCAAAGATCACAGCCAGCAAATACTGGTTTTTGGCCTTGTCCCTTGCATACAGAGATTTCTCTGGATTCTCTATATCTTTTAATGTTATTATGTACTGTAGATGATGAAAGACAAACGTTCTTTACTATTTTACATTGAGAAACGTTATTCTTGAATTGTTGCACTATATGATCGTGCAGCCTTTCACAGAGTGGTGAACTCCTCCTCATCTTTACTTCTGAAAGACTCAGCCTCTTTGAGATGCTCTGTTTACACCCAATCATGTTACTGACCTGTTGCCAATTATCCACCAGGTATTTTTTAGCATTACACAACTTTACCAGCCTTTTGTTGCCCCGTCCCAACTTTTTTTGGAACATGTTGCTGGCATCAAATTCAAAATGGGCATTAGTTTTCAAAAAAGCAATAAAATTTCTCAGTTTCAACATTTGATTTGTTGTCTTTGTAGTATTTTCAATTAAATATAGTATGTAAATTATTTGCACATCATTGCATTGCTTTTATTTACATTTTGCACAGCGTCCCAACTGTTTTGGAAATAGGGTTGTATTTATTTGCTGAGTTTAACATTCACATTAAATAAAAAAAATTTAAAATAATTTTCCATAACTTTTGTACAGGCCAGGGTTTATGTTTAATTCAGCATATAAACAGTAATTGTACATTAAAATGTAAAATGCAAGTGTTCTCTGTAGAGCATGTGTTGACTTATGTTCACTTTAACAAACATGGCGTTTGGCCAGGGGCACCAAAAATTTTGGCGTCATGTTTTTTAAGCTCTAGTTCAGTTCTAGTTTTAGGACTGTGTAACAGTACCATATTTGTACTAGCTGATGCTAGAGCATGATTAGCTCACCAAACAAGCAGCACCCAATAGCAGTAAAGGTAGCATCTTAAAGGCCTTTACACCCCAACTCGATTTTCTCATGTGATTTATTTGGGCGATAGTAAATTAATTCAAACACATGTATAACTGACAGTATCTTGCACATGAAACACAGTTTTTCGTACTCCTTTCGTACACCCAAAGGAGCAAACTCCAAAAAATGATCATGCTGTGTTCAGTGTGTATTATTGTGATCTGAAGAAATTGCGTCCAAACATTTCACATTTTCGTGCTGTTTTTTTGCATCGTATTTGGTGTGTAAAGGCCTTAAGATCTACTGCCTGTAGAAAAACAGAACAATACTGTTAAGTTTGCATTTATCATTTAATGCAGTACATTATTCCATGAATTTTCTGCGTTCATTTTCGGAAGTTTCTGCGTTAATGACTAAAAACCATATTTCATTTCCAATCGTATTTGACTCTTCCTAATGGTGTTTGTGTTTCAGGGCTATCTATGCCTGCTAACCATGCACAAATTTAAGAACATCGCGTTTATGGAGGACAAACAGAGACTGCTGTCTGAGCCGCCTCCCACTCTGTCGCTAGTGTAGATTCACCTAACTAACTTCTAATGTTGCATAGTACACACTAAAATACAGTAACTGAGAAACATTATACTGTATACGGAACACAGTATTTCTGTATACACTCAAATTGCATTACACTCTACCGTACTGCATTAGTCTAGTAGAGTTGAGCCATGATGAACTGGAACTGTTTATAAGTATGATGTCACATGCCCTAATCATACATCTCAGTTATGATCTATAGCAATAATTTGGCAAAAAATTTAATTTAAACAATTTTCCCCTTAAAAATCTATATGACATTACATCTCAGTGTAGTCTGATCTAGTGATGATGATGATGAAGGTGTGTAGCAGAATGCTAAGTAGTGTACATAATGTCCCATTGCTTGATAGCTACATTAAGGTTCAGTCACACTGCAAAACTTTATGAGCAAAAATACATTCATTTCAATAGAATTTGGTGCAATGAGCAGTTTGGCGCTGCAGACTTTAAACAAATTTAGCAAGCAGTCTTCAACCAATAGCACTACTGCTTTGCATTGACCTCTAAAGGGGCCGGACCTTCAGATAGTAGCACTGAATATCCAAAATGCAGCAAATGCTAAATTAGCCATTGTCTAAACACAAACTTTTTACATTTTTTTTTACACAGTCAATTATGAGACTCTATTATTATCTTCACTTTCCTGATTTTACTGTTTGTGGCAGAGGAATTAACCAGCTTGCTAACTGCTATGTTAGCTCCATGGCTAACTGCAGCTGCACACTAGTTATCTACTAGTATCTTTTTTGCTACAGATCAATATGCAACAAAATGCTTTAAAAAGTACAGAATTATCTGATATAATTTAGGTCACCATTTATGCTAGGCAAGCTAGTCAGCTTGCTGTCTGCTCTGTTAGCTGCTTGGCTAACTGCAGCTGCACCCAAGTCACCCCACTTTTGTCAACCACATCAGTTATCTATATATTTTTGCTACAGATCAGTGTGTAGCACTATTCTGTTGCAAGTATATAATTATCTGATATAATTATGTTCACGTTTATGATTTTACTGCCATGCCAAGCACGTTAGCTCACGTCAAACTGCACCAAAACTGAAGTTTTTTATCTGTCGTCATTCTTTTGCTCCAGAGTTGCTCACACCTGTTTCACGAGGCATGAAAACTGCACACGTCTATTGCAGCTTCAGCCTCGTAGCTCCAGTAGAAAATTAAAGAAGCAAACTTCAGGCGCTATTTTGGCTGGTTGATTTTATTCAAGAAAAGGGGAAAGTTTTATAAATTCGATTTTTTCATTAAACTATTCAAGGTCTATAACTATTATAACTAACATATAGTTATTATAACTAACTGAAATGCTGTGTAATCTGCCTGTTGTGTTAGGTTACTGAATTTCCAGGATAGTTTTGCTAACAAATTAATCATACTAATGTGGTTAATATGACTAGGCGGCCCTGACGGCGTGCGCCGTGCAGAAGTTCCTGCTGGGAACCGACATGACGCTCTTCAGCACCGAGCACGTGGCCAGCCAGGCCCCCAAACAGCCCTATCCACCCAATGACGTGACCGGCCAGACCACCATCCCCGTCAACAATGCCTACCAGAGCCCGCCGCTCATTGAAACCGTGGAGACCCGCCCACCTGGGTACCAGATCCCACCAGCTTTTTAAACTACAGCCAATGAGGAGAAGGAATGCAGAAGAGGGGTTTGGCTTCTTTAGTAATTATTGTAATTAGGGGTGTAAATCTTTATGTAACAAACCAGTCATGAAAAAATCACAAAATCATTTTTTTTGAAAAACAGCCTGAAAAGACCCAGAAAATAAGCGCAAAACTTCATTGAGCAGTACTACATACTATTACAATTTATTCTAGCATTCAAAAAAATAATCGGTGCATTTTTACACCCCTAATTACGAAGTTTCACGTTTTAGCAGGGGTGGGAACGCTACTACTTATCCCTCATGAATGCATTACAAATGTAAAAACAGCATAAAGGAAAAATGTAGCCTGGCTAAACAGCAAATGCGAACCTTTTCTGGTGTATTTCTTTAGTTGCTTTCCAGATGTTTTATAAGTTTATGAGTTAAGAGGGCACGAAGGAAAAGTATTGCCAATCACAATGTGCTATTTATGTATTTCTTTATGTACCTTGTTATTTATTTATTCTGAGATACTCTTAACACGCATATTGCCAAAATTCCAAATGACTTATTTGGTATTCATTTTGAAGAATGTCAGACTGTATATTAGTGATGCATTTGTTACAATAACAGTAGTGATAAATAGACTCAGTGGAACAATGAAACATCATTGTAACAGCTGCAGTGATTTTTGTCATCAAATCGGGTTTGTTATGAGAATTTAGTGCTTTGTTAGCTTAAATAAAGATCTTGTGGGGCCAGACGTGATCTCGAGATTGCACATCAGGGACAAATCCTTCGCAAACAAGCAGATGCCCCCTCTATAGCCTGCCCCAACTTCTCTCCAGTCCAATCGATAAGTACAGTTGATATGGATAACACAAGCAAAATAAGCTAGCTAGTGAAACGCTAGTGTCAGCTAACGGAACTATTTCTCTTTGCCGATAGCGAATGTTTATTTTTATCTCATGTAATTTGTTCTCCGCACATGCAACAAACATCTAAATACTTGCTTAATGTGAGCGTTCTGGGGAACTTTTCAGCCATGCTAACTTAAGCTACACCCAAGGGCTAATGGCTTGTTGTTCACGGATAATGTTGACGAGCGCACCATCGCCCCCTACTGACAGCTTGGCCCTCACGAGGTGCTGTGGAAGCCTGTTTCTGCCACTGCAATACAGCCAATTAGTAAACCATAATAAAGAGAAAGTTTCCTATGGTTACGACTTAGTATGTCATATTTATGACATAGCATCTCATAATCATGACTTACTATCTCACAATTCTGATATTTTGAGATATGATGTCATAATTATGACAAGCTATTACATAATAATCCTGTTACATAGTTATGAATTAGTATCATAATGATGACTTGGTATCTCATAATTTTGACTTGCAGTCTCATTAATTTGACTTAGTATCTCATAATTATGACTTAGTATTTCATAATTATGACTTAAAATCTCATAATGATGACTTACAATCTCATAAGTTTGACTTAGTATCTCATGATTATGACTTAAAACCTCATGATGATGACTTACAATCTCATAATTTCGACTTGATGTCACAATTATGACAAGCTATTTCATAATAACCCTGCTACGTAGTTATGAATTAGCATCATATTGATGACTTAGTATCTCATAATTATGACTTAATATCTCATAATTCCAAGAGTATCTCATAATTATGACTTAATATTTCATAAATATGACTTGCTGTTGTATTATAAGATCCTGATTTATAATATTGACTTTATATCTCATAATAATGACTTACTATGCCAGGTTAGATTCTAATTTAGTATCTCAGTTATTTCTTAGTATCTCATAAGAATGATTTGAATGACTTTCTCAGTATTGTGAGACACTAAATTAGAGAAACTATATTATTGTTATCTTATTATTATAGATATCATCTATCTATTATTATGTATTTTTATTCTTTTTATTATATCTATTATGATATAGTATGTGGCCCTTTCTTCTTGCAAATGGCGGAAACAGGCTTCCTTGATATTCCAACCCATATTTTGGCCCATTTTTCTCATGGCGGTCCCCAGATGTTCTTGTTACGTGTTCACGTCTGGCCCCACGAGATGAAATTAAGGCGTGAAAATGTAAAGTACAGTTTATTAGCCAATGGAAGCAGGAATAAGCTGGAGGGACGGGAGTCGGTGTGGATCCTTTTGTACTAACAGAGTGTACAGGGAGGCGACTTCACAGCCAGTGACTGCATGTTTGTATCCACTGGTCAGAACCTACATTCCTAGTGAGAGTCCTAGTGAAAGCATCTCAACAATCTGTTTACTGTAAACGGCTGTATCTGAGTGTGTGAGACAGAGAGAGTGTGTGTGTGCGAGTCGGCACTCGTGTCCTCAGTCTTACTGCATGATAAGACAAGTCAGCGGGCTTGTAGAACTTTCCACTTATACATAAGGGTCTTAGCGTCAGAGCTGCTGAGAGACGGAGGGAAATGCTCGACGCAGTCCCGACGAAATAAAGATACTTTCAGAGACTCCGTCTGTTTCCGTTTCACTGAGTCTGTTTAACTTTCAGCTCAATCTGAGCATGAAATCTTCAGTCAAGCATTCTTCATCCCGACCCTGGGGACCACTCGGACGTTCCTGAGTGTTTCCTGCTTTTGCTGGTAGTTGCTGGAAATATGCTGTATGTAAGAAAATATCCATAACAGGGATCCCCGGGCTGGATCTACAGAACAGTCTTAGGTATTAAGGCTTTAAAGTCGCAATAATGTATATCGTTTATGTCTCACACTGAAAATGTCCATCTACCTTTCAGTCAATACCACATTTGTTTTTGCAGTCAGAAATGGATGATAATTTATTATGATTTGATATTTAAAGCTGTTCTTATGGACGAAAATCTTGCACAACACCTGGTCTTGTGGAGGTCTTGTAGGGGAAAATTGGGGGTAACGTTCTGGCTAAGAACAGTGTCCATTTACTGTAAAGCTAAACCGCATTCGTGCTTGATTTGAGCACTTAGTGGATGATGATACATAAACCTACGCACAGTTAAGGGATTCAGACTGGAACAGCAGACAGGTTTGTTTTTCACAGCACAAAAAAGAACATCTAGCCCCACTATGTTACACCCCTACCTGAGGAAAGAAGCCTCCAGCTTAAACTTGCATCAGAGAAGAGCGGACGATTGTGCATAAGGGTGGTCTTAATGCAACAGAGGGGTCTCTACACTACGACATTTTAGGGCCACTGTTATTAAAAATAAAAATATAGACTTTGAGAATAAATTTGTACTATTTTGAGAAAAAAAGTCATAATATTTCGAGGTTAAAGTCATAATATTTGGAGGATAAAGTGGGCTAACTGTAGGGGGCTGCCATAATGCGTTGGGGTCTCGGTTGCTGTACTGGCGCCGGAGCTCCACTCTCTCCTGTCTCTCTGTGGATCATTTTGATCATCATTCTCACTGTCTGAGAAACTTCATGCCCTCTTTGAATGGTGTGGAGATGTAGCCCCCGATAGCCGTGTAGACGACCCTGCCTGCGATTCTCCTTCAACAACACAGACAGACAGTTTCCTCTGAGTCTGGGTCTTTATTCTACATAAACACAGTTCCCTGCTCAGCCGTTTCAGCCGGTTCTTATACTATAACAGGCTGGTGCTGATGTGCAGGAGAGACAGGGAGACTGACTGTTTCTTTATGGGTGAATCGATATGAAAGTAGAACTCCACCAACTCAGCGACCCTCATGTTAACATGAGGCCTTTGGCCACAATACTGCGACCTTTCCTGGTATTAATGCCACTTTAATGTCGTAATTCTACGACTTTTGCTTGAAATATTATGACTTTTTTTCTCGAAATACTACGACTTTATTCTCAAAGTCTACTATTTTTATTTTTTTTTTAACAGTGGCCCTAAAACGCTGTCGTACTACACAGATCAGAACTGTCCAGGCTGTGGTCCTCTTTATGGATGTGGACAGTAAAAGACAGTAAAAGAGTGGAACATGAAAAAGTTGATGCTTTGGTTGGTGAAGACTTGGATGGCAAAGAAAACAAATGGAAGCTTGACTCACCTCTCGCTCGAAGCCCAGATGACTCTTATTTTGGACGTATTATGAGAAGAATCATTTGGAAAAGACAAGAAGTTATTATTAAAGTTGGATGGATACAATCAGACGAACCGTGACCCTTAAGAAGCCTCCTGATCCAGAAAACAGGATATTCTGGACAAACACTATCCGTACAGTCAAGTCGGTATCATCTTAATGAGACATAATAACAGAATAACTGCCCAAACTTATTTCGCTGTTTCCGCAACAAAACCTTGTATCTCCATTTTTGTCGTGACATAATTTGAAAATGTCTGTTGTCCTTTACACTGTATGTAAATTTCATGAAGAACGGAACACAAGAAACGGCCCAAAATGACTTGGGAAAAAGTCTGGTTACATTGACTTCCATTAAAAGTAAAGTGGGTTTTTTCTTTCTCCTGTAAAGTTACAATTTTGGAGATATGAGGTTTTCTTCCAACAGCAACATATATATATATGTATATGTATATATATATATATATATATATATATATAGTAGGCATCTTTTGATGTCCATTTCGTCCTCATCTTTGCAGAGTGCCGGTAACTGTGGGGGACACTGTAAATACAGTCTTATTCCATTAGACGATGAACTGACGTAGTTTCATTAATTATCATAATTACACCATCATTCACAGCTGATACTGTAGACTGTTGGGCTGATACTGCGGCTCCTCTGAGACGGTTGGGGAGAAGCACAAAATTAATTTTACAGTTTCGTAGTTACAGATTCTTCTGGAAAAAAAAACAAGGTGGCAGCCTGTAGGACTTAAAATGTTTTAAGATGAAAAAACAAAACATTAAGAAACATCATCACATAAGAAAACACAGGCACTTTTAAAGATGACAATAACGCTACAGATAAACATGACTTCAAATTTGGATGTGTTCATATATATGAGATAAAACATTTGAGCTTCATTATGGAGATTATTCAGAATAATTCATGTTTTGTTGAGTTTCTAAGTGTAAATAAGTGAACATGCACACTTCAGCACATTTTAATACACTGTTACTATTTATTTGCTGAATTTAATATATTGGGGAAAAATACAACATAAAATATGGCCTGTGCAAAAGTTATGACACATTTTGTATTTTATGTTTTTTGCATGTTTAACTCTGCAAATAAATAGAAACTGTGCAGGAAAATAACAGAAAATGCCATATTTAAGTGTGTTTTCTGTAGATGATGTGCAACTTTATTTAGA